ATGTATTTTCATTCACCCAGAAAAAATCTTTCTTTTACTAATTTTATTACTTTTGCAAACCAAGAACTTGTTGTCACAAAGACCTACAACTACCTTGGTGTGCTACTTGATTCACACCTTACATATCGGGAAAACATTTCTAGATTAACAAAAAAGTTGAATCAGAAACTCTATGTGTATAACAAGATTAGGTCATGTCTTTCCTTTTCGGTTTCTGAAACTTATCTACATGCCATTGTGTTTTCAACAATGTCCTACTGTCTTCCAATCTGGTCTCTTACCACTAAGGACATCACTGAACCAATAGCACAACTATATTACCGAGCACTTAAGATCCACAGTAATCTTCCAAAGTGGTCTCATCATTGCAGTGCGCTCACACGCACAAATGCTTTGACTTATCATAACTACATAAACAGTCATGCTATTGCATTTTACTTTTCAGATTCAAAATAGCTCTTCACCGGCACTTAAAGGTCTTCTTCTGACATACAATATGAGACCACTACGCTTCACTAGGTCAGTCTCACAGGCACTCAGTCCAGTTCCATCATACAAAAACAACTACGGTCAGAAATCTTTTTTACACTAAAATTTGGAATGACATTCCCCATCACATTCGAACATTATCATCCATCACATATTTCAAAAAGTCATATAAACTGTTTCTTCTTAACAGTCATACTTGTACACACTGATTGTTCATGTTTTGTTTTTAGTCTTGTTTCCCCCTATTTAATGTTTTACTTGTTTGTATCTGTCTAGTCAATAATAATGTCCTGTATAAATGTGTTGAAATTGTGTTCATTGTTCTATGTTGCTGCAGAACAGAATCTGCTTTTTAAACTGAGTCAGGTCCGTTTACTGTAACTAAATTGTTGCTCTTAAACTTTTCCTTTAAATGAAATGAATGAATGCATTGCTTGATCCTCCAAGCTGTGGCTGCTCGTGGCTGCTCTTGCCTGCTCTTGGTTCTCCTTTTATATTAAATCAATAGAAGACTTTGTCAGAAGGTGAAGTTTCCGTGCCCCCTCTTTTGAGGAAAGTATGAAATTACTACCCATTAAACAATCTTAAACAAATCCTCCAGTATTTTAGAGAGGTTTTATATATTGCTTTCATATATTATATATAATATATACAGCACAACTGCAGACTCATCCATTTTGATTGTGTGAGATACCATAAAACTTCAGTTAATAGCTTGTTAATAGTTAACACCCTGCCTATTTGGTACAGGTGTCTATATGAGACAGACCTTTAATTCCTTAACCATGCCAGGAAATCTGAATGAATAATACTTTGGTGCTCATTGTTTCTGTAAACTGGACTAAACTACTAAATTGTGGAGAATCTAACTGATCTAATGATGTGTAACATGTCCATATTGACAAAAATTACATTTATAACGGTATGCACAATCTAAACAGCTTAGAACGAGCTCAATACTGCTTACACTACATGTTAAGTTCTGTTGCATTTTGCTCTAAACCGTCAGTACTGTATTATTATAATATCGAAGCAGCAACTGATTGTAATTAGAAAAATGTGATTCTGTTCAGTGATTAGGAATACGGTTACAAACGTGAGTTTTTATATTGGGGCAAGTGAATGGGATGACCACCAGCCCGACAGATGGATTTTCTTAAGGGAAAGAAAAAAAACTCTCAGTTTCACACTCACAACACGGCACTGCCATCTCTCTCTGTCTCTTTCGCTCATACTCACTTGTCAGATTTCTCGCGCTCTCTCACTCACAGGCTCACCGACACATAATTGTGTGTTTTCACAAAGGAGAGAGAAGGAATGTGAGCCGGAGGCGAGCAATGTGTGTGTACTGTGTTCCCTCGCAGTAATCAATATATACCGTTGGAGTGGACAAAAAATAAATTAATACATAGTGTACGTTTGGATCCTTTTTCTTATGTTATTACAGGACACATGAGCCAGATTGTGAAATGAAAACATACTGCAATCTTTAATAATTGTGACTTATTTCTAAGTTAGAAATGCATTGTAGAGGTTTTTAATAGAATCAGTTATATAACCATTTTTGAGACCAGCATTTTGCAGTTCTATTAGGGAGCACTCTCTGCCAAAGTGGAAAGAGTTCCAACATTTTCATGTTAATGTGTAACACAGCTATTCCTGTAATTTATATAGTGGCCACCAAGGGAATGTTAGCCATGTGACCTAGATATATGAGGATGGCACAGTTTCGCCAGGTGCTCAGGGCACCAGTAGTCTCTGTGTTTTTCTTCCGGCGCAAACCTTTGAGCGCTTAAATATTTTATATAACACTTCTGCAAGTTTGATGGGTTCATGGATGGCAGTGACTGTTGCCGGGGAGGATGTACTGTATGTTACCGTAGGTCTGGAAAAAATAAATGTTTTGACAATTTATACAAGAAAAAAGCCTTTCATCTGCCTTTCTCAAATTTGGTGATTTTCTCTAGTTAGCACCACGTCGCCAAGTGCTTGCTCACAGTGGGAAATGTTGGGTCTCTGTAAATAAAATTACAAAGAGTATGGGCTAGACCTGCTCTATATCAAAAGTGCAATGAGAAAACATTTGTTATGAATTGGTGCTATATAAATAAAATTGAATTGATCTGAATGGAATTTATCCCTTTTCGGGCAGTTGATCTGGTGAAACAAACAATTTAAAGACGTGACCGTGGGCTCTTGGAAATTGTGATGGATATTTTCACTATTATCTAACAGTGTATCAGCTAAAAGCAGAATGGATTAATTAAAAAATATTGGTGGATTAATTGATAACAAAATCTAGGTTTACATTTGCTACTGGGCTTCATGCAGTCTGTGCTAATAGGTTCTACTCTTTGAAACTGGATACAGTGAATATGGATCATTGCAATCAGTAATTAGCAGAATGAGACTATAACAAAGTAGAAACTTCTAAAAGAGCAATAATATGTTGAGATGTGTCCCATTGAACTCATTTGGGTGAACAGAGGTGTACGAAAGGCTTGCAACAACAAAATCTCGGGTGTATGCAGTAAAGTCAGGGACGTTGGTGCTTTTGGCTAATGATTTCCCCCCCGAGCATCTGCATTACTGCTTTGTTCAGCACTATTTTGATTGGATGCGCAGCCGTTTGTGGACATATTATACCTTGTTCATTTGACTTTGCCTGCAATTATCAAAGTCAATAAGGAAGAAATTACTCACGATTACTACGATAGTTAGATTAAATATCCATCAAGCAAACTTTTGAAAAAAAATAAATTCAGGTTGGTTTTTGTATCAGGTATATGTTTGGAATACAGAAGTGGAAGAAATAAAGGAATCACAAAAGACTTTTCAAAACTCATGACCCCGTGGGGTGGTGACAGATTGAGGTTGTACTGAATTGAGGGCATTGATTGTTGCATTTTAAAAGAGCTAATCACGCTGTAATCTCTATTCTTTTTTCCTAACCCATGAGACACAGTTTGATGGGGTGATACTGTTTCTGGATGACATAACACAACCTTCTAGGTATTACATAACTGTGGTGAGAGCTGGTAAATGGTAGGCTGCATTCACACTGCAGCTGATTATTTGTCCCTCCTGTGTGACACAGGCCTGATGCTTCCCATGCACTTTGCAATCTTGTGTTTTCATGTTCTGGTCCAAAACCTGCTCCATATCTGATCCATGAACTCTAGCCTGAACTGTCACAAAGGAAGTCATGTGGTTTTTATCATCTTTCTCTGTGAGACAGCTCATTGTCCATCTGTCCAGAAAAACATGGAGGATGACTTCGGCGTGCAGCCAGTAGAGAGATGACAATGCCACAATTTGAATTAGTGTTTGGAAATGATTCGTTTATACGCAGCACTAGAGAGGATGTACAATTGAGTCAGTGTTTGAAGCAGGTAGGTAATAAAAGTGTGTTTGTGTGTATGGTGGTTAGACATGTTGGATTTGTAAAACTCAGACACAGACATTAACACACAAATTCATTTATTCATAGTTGAATAAATAAACAAATGAATGTACCCCAATATGAGAGGTGGAAAATTACAATAAAAAATTCCACAATAAAAGATTTTATGAAACGGAGAAGATCAAAAGGATTTAAATCATAAGAAGTCCCAAAACAATTGCAGCAATGTATCAACAACCAAAAGAAATATAAGTTAACTCACTACAAGAAATTAATTCAAAAATACTATAATAGAAATGCAGTTACCGGACATGGGTAATGGCTAGAGCATAGGAGGAGAAATTAGCAGCCACCAAGACATCACTCAGCAGCAGCAAATACTTGGTAGTAAAATAATCAGTGATCGCCAGCATCTTAGTGGGCAGTAAACCCTTTGATAAGACTCGCTGTGTTCCCAAAATTGTCAACAGCACAGGCAAAAATCTGCCTTGGAGCTAGCAAATTTGGGCAGTGGGAAACAGGAACAAAATTATTCCTCCTAAAGGTTGTCCTGAGGGAAAATAATCAGACAGTTTAAGCAAGTTTGCAGCACGTGTTTTTTCAGCAGTAACAGAACAAAAGTATGGGGGGAGCACTTAAACAGACCACTGGGGTGCATTGAATATACATGATAGCAGCTACTTTATACCGTGTGTGAGTGTAGCAGCGCACTCAGTTGTCTGCTGGAGCTTGCTCGCAGGCTTCACTTCCTTTCAGGCATTTTCCTATCAGGTTAGAGCTGGGGGGCAGGAAGCTGTGACTGCAGCGTACTGGGTTAGTTTGTTTATTACTGCAACAGGTAGCTGTTGGATTGGTTTTTCACATCCTTGCATCATCCACAGCAAGGCTTTCATAAATACATTTATGAGCGATACATCTTTGTTCATTTTCTGGTCAATGAATCTGTAAGTGAAAATAGTAACCTGCAGCTTAAATTCTGTTGTGTGATGGATTTTTTTTATTCTGTTATGATAACTCTGTTGCTAGGTCTGCTCTTTTATTTTACAGTACATTAAAAGACTTTTCAGTGATGTCTTTAAACCCAATTTTTTTATTCACTCTTTTCCAGTTATCCAGCTGTATGTGAGTTCCTACAGAGCAATAACCTATTATCAATTATCCGAGCGCATGAAGCACAAGATGCAGGGTATGTTATCAATACAACACACATAAAAGACACACATAACCACACAAACTAAACATAGATACATGTTTACATATATAAGAACAAGTTCTGCCTTTTCTTTACCTCTACCTGACCGCCTTAAGCTACCGGATGTACCGTAAAAGTCAGACCACTGGATTCCCATCCCTCATTACCATCTTCTCAGCACCAAACTACCTGGATGTTTACAACAACAAAGGTCAGAAAATCCTTCTTTGTTTGCTTTATACCCATCTTTGTGTGAGTTTACAGTTTTGTTTGCAGTTCTGTAATCTGTTTATACTTGTATCATTTTTTGCACAAGAATATAATTTTTTTTTAATCACAGAAATGGCATGTGTAAAATAAACACATCCTTTTGAAACAAATGTATTATTCCAATATATCATGTTTTTCTATGGCTAAAGTAGGCAGGCAGGCCTTGAGAAATTAATTAACTGTTAAATTTGTTCCCCAATTCCAGTGTTGCTGTGGTACTGCATCTGGGTTAGATTATATGAAAAACAATTCTGACAAAATGACTACCTTGAGCCGTTCCCATTAAGATGGTTTTAGCAGCATGAACTGGAGTGTATGGGTTAAATAACCTGCATATAGCTTGTGAGCAGGCATAAGAATGCATCAGGGAGCCCCCGTTTGCTTGTGTTCTCAGATCTGTGTCTTGGTTGCTATGGGCTATGGGAGATGGGGAGCGTGGGAGGGACTGTCGGCATTGCTGACTATCTCCATGTGGCTTTATCCCTCTTGATATAACAGTGTCAGCATTCCCTGGCCTCAGCTAGGCCATCTAGTGGTTGAATGTCTCATTTCCGCAGCTCTGTCCCTGTTGTCACACACACTGGATGTACAGAGGGAGCCGTTTGAAAACATATTCAGGGGGGTAACATCACTGAACATGAATACATTTGAAGAGAGCATATGTTCTGTATATGGTTTTGGCAGTATGCAATAGAAAGATCCTGCACAGTGCACGCTATTAAACAAAATGACAGTTTGTGTACTGTGCAGTCTGCCATTGCTCTGAATGTTTTTGTTACGTAAGTATAGATTGGTATACTACATTATAACTTTTCCTTTAAGCAATAACATCAGATTTCATTAAACATTTCTAACAGTAACATAATCATTTTAGAGCAGGCTATTAACTAAAAATGTACCTACTTGTAGCTAGTGTAAATGTAGCTGCAACAGAGGGTTATTTATATTAAATGTCACTAAGGGCTACAAATTCAATTGAAAAGAGAAACATGCTCCAAATCAAATGGGCCAGTTACAATTGTACAGTTAAGATATGTTGTTCTCATCACAAGTACTTCATTATTCAGTTATTGTATACACTTGGTGTGTATGAGTGTTTGCATGTGCCTTTGCACATGAAGGACTGACGCTTTGCAACCCTATCTCTCTGCATAGGGTACATACTGCCGTATTGTAATGATGTACTGCCGGTATACAAAACTTCATAACATGTCAGTGTTCTCTTTACCTTAAAGAAAGGCTTCATTTATCACCTGCATCGTATACTTACTGATGCTTTCATGTGCCGAGCAGACTCACTTTAGAACTCTTTCCTTGAGTTTATCAGAGACAACAATGAAACTCTGGATAAACAAATGTAGAATTACTTACTATTGTTTGGCCTGCTGAGCAGGTCACTTTATTATACATTACATAATTATAATTAATAAATACTTTTTGTATGTATGTAAGATGCATCAGATTCGACAAGATTTAAGAGAAGAATGATAATACGCTGTCTCTTTTCTGCTTTCCCAACAGCTGCTGTACTAAAATATGAAAACAATGTCATGAACATCCGACAGTTCAACTGCTCACCCCATCCCTACTGGCTCCCCAACTTCATGGATGTCTTCACCTGGTCTCTGCCATTTGTTGGAGAGAAAGGTATTAAGTGTTTCTAGAGCAAAGTCTTCTGATATATGTCAGGTGTTTTTTAATACAATGCCACGTCCTAATCTGTTATCTCTGTGGCTCTGTTTCCTACACTCTGTTTCTTCAACCAGTCACAGAAATGCTGGTGAATGTGCTGAGCATCTGCTCTGATGATGAACTCATGAATGATGAAGATGAGATCTTTGATGGTAACACGTTTTGAAAATAATATCCACACACTGAACTAGATATTTCATGGAATGAGATCTGCACATGCTGTTTACATCTGAAGTATTCACACTATGGATTTTGGGCTTTTAGGCTAAATTTGTTTGAAAGTTGTTTCTTTCTCTCTCTTTGAAAAGTGTGTGTCTGTCTCTCACCAACAGGTTTAATAGAAAAGCAGGTGTTAAATTATAATTTTAAATCCGCCATCAACAAACACATACATGCATTCGCATACACACAGTTTCTACAGGCTTATAATGGCAACATCTATTGTTTAGCCTATAATAACAGTATGCAAATATATTTCTTTGCAGCCAATGCAGCTGCAGCACGCAAGGAGGTGATCAAAAACAAGATCCGTGCTATTGGGAAAATGGCCAAAATGTTCTCAGTTCTCAGGTAGACTATTTGTGTGTGTGTGTGAATGTTAAGTGTGAGTGTATATTTTCTAAATTTGAAACTGTATTAGGTGTTTGCATGTGTATGTGTGTGTAGAGTTAGTGTGTGTCACATTGTATGTGTATACACTGTTGTTAATGTGGAGGCATACATTTTTCCCCCTACTATGATCAGGGTTCACTGAAGTTTTCTGACCTGTTTGCCTGTCTCTGTCTTTCCTGCAGAGAGGAGAGTGAAAATGTGTTGACGCTTAAGGGCCTGACGCCCACTGGCATGCTGCCAAGCGGGGTTCTCTCTGGAGGCAGACAGACACTGCAGAGTGGTGAGTACAAGGCTCAGCATAAGCCTTTTCTCTAGCCTTTACTCCATCTTCGTCTTCATCACCATTCTCAGTCCTGCTGTCGGTCTTAACTCTCTCTTTCTCTCTCTCCTTCCCGATGATCTGATCACATTATAAGAACTTAATGTTTCAGATACAACCAACAGTTTTTCAATATTTCTGTCTACTGTAACACATTACACAGTGTAACATCACAATATTTACTAAAATCTGTCACTGCTGCTGCATCATAGATCCCATCCTAGTACCAGACAAAGACTGAAGTTTTGCATTAAGCCATTTTTACCTATAGGTGGTAGTGATGTGCGAGACCACTTGCCTCCTTCACAATCCGATACCAAGTAATACCCAGGCTGGTATTGCCGATACCAATACAGATACTTTTTACGTAAAAGGCTGTAGTGGTTCACTTCAAATAAGCAATGTCACAGAGCCATAGTGCACACATGACTTTGACAGGCGGAAGAAGAAGTAGTTCCTGTCAACCAGGTATAATTAGACCATCCTGGTCACAGTAAGTTACTTATGATAAAATACACACTCGCTCCAAATTACTGAGTTTAGATATTGATCCTTTAATATGAGAATCAATCCTAGAGCAGGAAACGTTGGGATCAGAAATATTGATACTTCCGCACATCAGTAATAGGAGGCAGAAGTCATTGTGTTTGTGCGTGTCCATGATTGTGTCACTGCTGTTGTGCTGACAGCAAGAACACCATTTAGCTAACAGAAAACTTTTCGAAAGATTTTTGAAATTGTAAAATCTTTTTAAGATATCAACCTATCATTTTTTTCATCTCAGTATATCTGTCACTCTCTCACTCTCTCTCTCTATTGCTCTATCTTGACACTATTCTATATTGACACTAATTCTCTCAGTATTAACGCATGGCACTGCTCTTGAGTTGGGCTGCATTGCCATTGACCATGTATACTGTATGTCATCTGGCCTAACATGAGCCGGCTTTTTGCTGGGGCTGCATTTTACATTTGCATGGCTTCATCAGGAGTAACCTGCTCCCCTCCTCCCCCTTCAGCCACCATTGAAGCCATTGAAGCCATCGAGCCACAAGATGAGGATGGAGAAGGTAAACATGTGCCCCCTCTTCCACCCATCTCAACATATTGTCTGGGTTTCCTGCTACAGAGGACACCCGCCACTGACAGTTCATGCACACAACAGCTCACACAATAATATCTCCATGGAGCAACATTTCACAGGGCAGCTTTATGTTGATATGGCTGGCACTTTACTTTGCAGTACCATTAATTCAAACAGAAATCCAACTAGGAATTTTAATTTTAGAGAGAGGGGAATAGAACTGATAAAGATATTTTTTAAAGACCAGAAATTTAAATGAGATAGATGGTTATTTGTAATGTAGGCCACCTTTGCACAGTGAGGATTTTTTAAGGGATTGTTTTCTAATGGGTGCCTGAGTAATGACAAGGCAAAACATCTCCCAATTGGTTGAGGGATCATGTTCTTGTCACTGTTTGGTCAAGGCACATGTACTGAGGAGGGCTGGAACTGAGGAGATAATGTGAATTGTTGCACACTTAATACGCTACCGAACAGATGAAAAGAAGTCCCAAGTCCCCCCACATCAATCTACTCCTAACTCTCAGGCCCACCCACTGCCTACACCAACATAGAGAGGATTAGCACCAACAATTCCAGTAGTACACATTTGGAATTGATCATTACAGATAGAAAAACAAGCCAAATTAAAAAATGAATAGTTTTTAAGGCATTTTCAAGATGAATTAAAACACTGCAAATTCAAGTGCTGCTAAGAGATGCATGACTAAAACATTTCACTGTTTTGGGTTTGGCTTGTAAATGGCCTCCATCCGGTTCTGAAAAGTGTTGCATGCACAAGAACAAGAAACAGACCAGCAAACCTTATGTGTTTGGATAATTTAGAAAAACATGTCATAGAAAAGCTTTGAGTCACAATGATATAGGACTTTGTGAACTTCTTTCTTCCTTAATTTGATGTATTATGTATGCCTAACTCATCATTGGGGTGGGACATATAAAGTGAGAGACTTACTTGTGTAAAGAAACAGGATATCAGTTGAGGGACGGGCCTTTCGTGTCTCTATCTGCAGCTGTCACTGTGCAATAAAGGTAAAATGCCTAAAAAATAATCTTAATCACCTGCAGGCAAGGATTCTTACAACTCTTGTTTTGTTTGCTTTTTTATAGTGTTTGTGTGTGGCACAAAGAGTTTCAGATGGTGTCAAATAGCAGCAGCTTCCACTTTTCCATGTCACTAATGTCAGTTGCAGAGATAACTGAATTGCATATAGCGGTACTATGTAACCCAAAACAAGAAATGTGACATTTTACAGAATCATACAATACAATAATCTTACCGGTTATTAAAAGATTCTCTTTGTTCCTAATTAAGGTTGACCCACTGAGCGTATGTCTTTTGTGTTATAATGCCTAGAAAATCCCAACAGCATTTTATATTTCGGGTGAAATACACAATATGAGGTCATATTAGGAATATTCTGATAACACGTTGACCCAAATTCCTTTTGTCTCTTGTCAGCTATCCGTGGCTTCTCCCCCCAGCACAAGATCACCAGCTTTGAGGAAGCTAAGGGCCTTGACCGCATCAACGAGCGCATGCCACCTCGCAGGGACGGGGTGAACCATGTGGGTCACTCCATGGGAAAGATGAATATGTCAGAGGCAAACGGCACGGATGACAACAGCAACATCCAGTGATGTGCTGTCTGAGCCTCGGAACCATGCCGCTGTTGCGCTGTGCAGCAAGACATTGCCAAATCGGGAATTCAGGCCTCCGAACATAGAAATAAACCAGGCCCACAGACAGAACATGAAATCTTTTTTTTCATGACAGTGTGTCATCGAACAGTTGGGGGAGGGGGAGCTGGGGTTTACACCAGAGGGCGGGGTATAAGAAAAGTCCAGAAGGCTGCAGCTTGACTGAAAAGGGTGGTTGAAAGTTGTTTCTGACTGTTGTTCCCCTTTCTCAGTTCAATTACAGACTGAATGGTTGGCGGCTGTGTTGTTCTGAGTGCTGACAAAAGCCTGCTCCTTCATTAGGGCCTGATAGAAGACATAATTGCAGTATCCATGCCACACAAATCATTTTACTGTTTCATGAAGTGTTTATTACGAATCACTCTCAAATTCACTTCATGAGAAAACAAATCTTGTTTAACTACATGTTTTGCTAGTATTAACAAGTCACACCACTTTGTGAGAAATGAAGCAAAAAGACAGGACGTTTAATGTGCACCTCTTAAAACTTGCAGTGCAATCTTACCACTGGACTTAAATTTATTGATTGACGTTGTAGCGAGATGCCATTGTGCTGCGAGGGAAAGAGGACAAGGTGCTCGCCTGTGCTCACAACTCTGGCCTAACCACAAAAGCCACTGCAGTCTGAGATCAAACTCCACCTCAGTACTCTCCAGGACTGCTCCTTTCCTCACCCCCCTTATTATCAGTCATCTCCTAGCAAGAAGTAACTTGGAGGGGATGAGGGAATAAAGGGAGGGGATGAAAAGAGCATTTGGAAAATTTGGTCGGCACCTCAACATCGCGGATTAAATACCAAGATTTAACATCTGAAAATGTCCCCAAAAGGAGCTCACTATCACATATGAAGATGCAACTTCATCACTGTCTCTGAGTGAATCTCAAGAGGTTATATTTTTATCCAGACCATTCTAACAAATATTTTCTTCTCTCCATTAAATGTTTAAGTAGTTCACATCAGAGAAGCATTTGAGCAAGCTATACCTCACACATCATGCAATTCACTTTCTGGAAAGTTTATGCTTGAGCATCCTCCTCAGGCTTCGGATCAGGGTTTCCTCATCTCTCCTGCATTACTATGACTGGCAACAAAGCGGCATTAACACCAGTTTCTGGACCACAGAGGAAAAGAGAAGAAGTGATTTTGAACTTTGGGACATGCCCTGCGGTCACACACTACCTGATTATTTCTCACCTGCCTGCTGAAAGATGAAAGTAAAACTATGTGCAAGTCTCTCAAGTATACATTAGGGCCCTTTGAGTTTTTTTTTTCTTGCTGTGTTGCAAATTCAATGAGATTTCATGCCTAAGAGCTACACAAACTACTATATCTGAGTGCGAAGGAAATTCTACAAATTTGTGAATGCATACAATTGAAATATATTTTGTTTAAAGAGTATAAAAACCACCATTGTGTCATCTAGAGAATTTAGGCTTTGATCCATGCTGAATACCATGCTTATTTATTTACAGAATCCGGACCAGGACTGAGTGAATGAATGCTACTTCAAACGTGATTTCTTTTTCACTAAAATTAAGGTGAAATAGGTGAAATCAAAGTTATGAGAAGTACTTCCTTCATGAAAACCAAGCTCAGTGTAGACCAGGAATTTCGTCCATAATATCATTTCTTGGTTTTCTATCAAATTTTCTAATCTAATCTAATTTTACTGTGTGAGTGTAGTGTATAAATAGGACGAGAAAAGCTCCACTGACAAGTGCATGCACACTGTGATCCAAATAAAACATAAATTCCCCTGTCCAAATATTGTGTCAAAATTTTATGAAAAATCCATTTGTATCCTAAAATGCCATGTTGAATTGAAGAGAAAAGAAAAGAAATATAAACAGAACACATGCTGGTCCTTTCAAAATATCTAATTTTGGAAAGCTAATACAAGTGAAGCCCCAACCTAACATGCGACACACATAACATGAATTTCCTTTAAGACATTCATATTTTTTCTACTTTATACTTCATCTTTCTATTAATGATAAAGATATGTGGATGACGGATGGACAAGAAGTGATTTTTAACACAGCATCTATGGTACGGAACGCATCAATGCATGCAATTAAGTTCCTAATTGTTATGTGAGATTATAATTGTGATAGTTGTGTTTCAAATAGTAAACTTGAATTATTTTATTTTTGAATTATATTTGTAGTTTTATTTGTCTTGTTTTATAAATTTTATAAATAGGCTTCCTTTGATTGTTTTTGTTCTTTTTTTTTCATTTTGTTATTTATTACCACTGCTTTTAATTTTATATTGATTTCTTGTATACAGAGATGCACTTCTAAGGTGTGAAGCCTTGTGTTTATTTATTTTTTTGGTTGTACTGATGTACAGAAAATGTTCAATAGTGTGAATGAATATAATCTCAGTGAAAAGCAACTTTCAGGCTGCCAAAGCATGATAGCATGGTTTTCAGATGTAAATGAATTGGACACAAAGAAAATCATGTGTTGCACTTATGTTTAACAGGAAACATTGTACTCTGGTTATATTTACTGCTGATATTATTATTGTTACAATTTCGCTTATGGTTATTTTCCTTCCTCTGTTTCTGGTTCTTGTATGGTCTACATGCATATTTCAACAAACAAATATAATGGATTTTATCTTGCAACATTTTTTATTATCTATGGAAATATGTTTTCGCATTTGACTTCCTAAATGATAGACACATTGTAAGCATGCCCTATGGGACAAATCACATTTTTTTTACTCTTGAATAAAATATGCATGAACAAAAATGTGTTGCATAGTTTCTAATTCATTGATGGAAGTATTAATGCTTATTTTAACTTTCACCCTGACTTACATTCAGATACGACCCCTCAAAAATAAGTGTCCTACTCAATGAAGCCAACCTACAATATTTAGTACAGTGATAGTAGGTTTCTGTATCTGAATCATCCCACTACAGTATCTTACATCTAAATAAATTCAAGATTCAAAGTGTTTTTAATCAGATGTACACTGAAATTCTTACTTTGCTGTCCACATCAAATGTCTACAATAAAAGTAAAATGAAATATATGTATATATAAAAATACAAAGAAAAAAATGATAGAGAAAAACAAACAACAAATATATACACTTCATTGTTGTGCAGGCAGACGAATTAACAGTTGTGCAACTGATGAATTATATACATGTGGAAATTGTGCATGGCGCAATGTGCAGATGTGCAAAAATAGTGCAATTAACATTTCATGGTACAGTGTAAAGATGGGCATGATTATGGAGTCCACATGCCTATTAACTGTTTAGGAGTCTGATGGCAGTAAGAAAGAAAGAGTTCTTTAGTTGTGTAGTCCTACATTTCACACTTCTGTAGCCTACCTCCAACCCGAGGGTACAAGTGTGAACAGTTCGTGTTGGGGTGGGTGGTATCCTTGATAATGGAGGCAGCTCTCTTGTGGACTTTCTGATGGTAGATGCTCTGCAGGGAGGGTAGTGGAGTCCTGGTGATCTTTTCAGCTGTCTTCACCACTCTATGCAGGCGTTTGCGGTCCATAGCAGTAGTGCTGCCATACCACACGATGATGCAGTGTAAAATCTGCCTTCAAGTCCTGTCGAAATGTGCCTAATCATGTCATTGACTAATTGTTATAGTTTGCCATTCTATGTAATGTTACCATTATCCGTATTAGCTAAATCTGCAGTTGTGCTGGTTGTTTTTGTTGTCACTCGGCTATTTAAGATTACATTTTAAAATAACTTAATTAAAAAGTACCCATTACATGCCGGCTGTCTTATCATTCTGTCAAAGACAGCCAGCAATGTGCCACTACATGTATAAAATAAAAAAAAAAAAATCACCACCCAAAAAAAATTCTTAGGTCGATTTTGTATAATGACGCGCCATCACAAGCACTTAAACGCATCATAAGGAAGAGTCGGAGGTACGCCTTTAATGAAAGACCTTGAATGCAGCAGCAGCATCACCGTACACCTGCTGATGTTACTCAACGTGCTGGGTTAGGTAATAGACAGGGGGAAAAATCAGTGTGTTAAAAATAACTAATTGGCAAATTGTGCTAACAAACAGACAACCAAGTAAACAACATTTTGACTCAAAATCAATGGGAGGCCTATTTTTTCCTACTTATTCCAGTCCACAGGATATGACGTCGCCCCTGTCTCGCCTCCAGCTCTTGTCCATCACAGCTTTATTTTACTGTGGCCCTTTAAACGCCGTTAAAACCCATTATTAGTCCGTTTCCCAGACTTTCATCATTTAAAAAAAAACATGGCCCCGCTGCCGGCCTGTTTGCAGCCTCACAACAACCTCCACCGTCTGCGAATCGGATACTGCGACGGACTTTGAGTGACTGCGGGCCTGCACCTAGTTAACGTTACGCAGCTGTCTGAAACCAAAGCTAATCGGCTATCTTACGTTAGCTGTAGCGGCTCGCCTTGCCATATGATATTGACGCACATTACACAGGGACAGACCTCTACGGACAGCGATTGGACCAGGAAAATAACCCCGCACCGCTGAAATGGACAAAGACGAAGCAGACCGGCTGATAGAGAAGGCGAAGCTGTGCTTACGGTCAGGACGGAAAGATCGGGCGCTGCAGCTGCTGTATGAAGCTCAAAATATTTACCCCAGCACCAGGGCCAGAGGTAAAATTAGCTGACGCACATTCTGCAAAGGCAGCTGACTAGCTAACGTTGGTAACAAAGTTAGCCAACTTATTTCAGTGTATTTGCGAACTGTTTGAAAAAAATGTATTTTCGCGTAACTGGATTGGCGCGCAGAATTGCTCTTTTCAGATGGCGACAAAATGAGCTGCTTTAATACTTGGTCTGCTCAGACTGCATGCTGAATTATAGGGCTGTTAAATGGCTCCCTTCCCCCTTACAGATCATAGACAGGCAGCGCTGTGTTAAAACCGGACTGTGTCTTCAGTTGCTTTACCTTGCCTAACTTAGTTGCTTTTTCTGCAATGGCATCATAAGCAGGATCATTCAGTTCATAGATTACTTTGAGGTCTTTGAACACAACGTGCACGAGACATTTAAACGCCACAGGGTCCATCTTGCAGCATATTCTATTAAATTACACATGTTGTGCAAGGAGGTAAAAATTTTAAGTGCACAGTCAACATTACTCCATATATAGATGACAAGTGAAAGGAAAAACCTGAATAAATGAGTGGAGAAACCTGAGCAAATGCTTTCAGACAGGGCACTAAGAATCATTGGATGGTTTGAGCTTGACAGTCATGTGAATCAAATGTGACAACTCTTCACTCCTACCTATAGGAGAATTTGGAGCTGTTGGTGGCCAGACACTGTAATAAGACACTTCATGTTTTTCCTATTTAAATTGTCACCCATCTGTACGTCCCATGATTTTTGTAGCCAGTAACCATCATTTCCATTGTGGTTTTGACTGATGCCAATACTTCTCTTTCCCTATTTACACCTTATTTGTCAGTTGACCTCCTGCATTGTGTTCTTGTTTGTAGTGCTGATAGATGCCATTGTAAGGAATGGAGGCACCGCTGCTCCAGAGGCAAACCACGTGCCCCCGCCAACGGGCTGGAGAGACGAGGACATTGGAAGAAATGAAAAAAGTAACGCAAGTGGTGATGAAAAGAAGAGCTACACGGAGGAGCAACGCCAGGGTGTTCTCAGGTGTAGACATAACACTGACCGTTGGTTGAAGCTTTCTGCAAATGCACATGTTACTAACTATTGTGTGAAGAGTTTACACACGGAATAGCTTCACATGCGTTTGAGCGGGAGTACTTCCTTTTAGCTTTTAAGTTCAGGCTTGTGTTTTGACATCTGTTACGCTTTGTTATTGCAGGATAAAGAATTGCAAGGACTTTTATGAAATCCTCGGTGTTCCCAAAAACGCCAGCGATGAAGATTTGAAGAAGATGTATAGGAAGTTGGCCCTCAAGTTTCACCCCGACAAGAACTTTGCTCCAGGAGCCACGGATGCTTTTAAAGGTACGAGTTTTGGCAAGAGAAAGGACAAAGCCCCCCCCCCGAGATACATGATGGTGATATCGTTTTGTTATCCATTATCACTGTGTCAAAAAAACACAACTTTTTTGTTGTACTGACTTTAACCAGCAGGGCAGAGGCTTGCAGCTGGGTCATCCAGTTTTTCTTTGTTGAGCTGTTTGCAGGGTTTTCAAACTGTGAGGCGCACCTCTCCAGGGAGGTGCAGGAGAGTTCCAAGCAAGTTGTGGAGGGAGAGACATGAGGCAAAGATACTGCCTGAGGTGAAAGGGACAGGTGCACACCGGTGTGTTCTGACAACAACCCAAAGTTAGTTACTGTAATTTGGGCTACTGATTTGGCCCATTCACCAACACAGTCACACAGCGCATACAGGCAGGCCGCAGTAATGGCTGTGACATACCGCTCATGGAGGCAATTCTGAATCTGAAGACCTAACTCTAGAACAAAGTAATCCAGTGATAATTGTCTGTACAGCCATTGGTACATTGCAAATAGGAACTGCTAAAAGCTAATTTAGCATACGTACAATGGCACCAAATCACAAATATAGGCTAAAAAAAACTAGGAATATAGGTAGCTAGCAGAATCCATAGTAACATTATGCTTCCTGTTACATCCCCAGAACTTGCTAGCTGTGATTATCTACCAAACAGAAGTAAGACAAACGAGATCGATCGATCGTGTTTCTGTTTTACTATGTTTGTGGGTTCCAAAAAATGTGATTTGCTAAACCTGTGGGGACCAAAATGCTGGACCCCACAAGTTTAAAGGGCTGTTTGGGGGTTCAGGTTAGAATTAGGTTAAGGGCTAAGGTCAAGAATGTAGTTGTGATGGTTAAGGTTAGGGTAAGGGGCTAGGGAATGCATTATGTTAATCAAATGTCCCCAGGTACATAGTAAGGTGGGTGGGTGGGTGGGTGTGTGTGTGTGTGTGTGTGTGTGTGTGTGTGGATACAGATATTAAGAAAGAGAGAGATAAATCTATAGATATTGGTCAGTCTAAGACCAAAACAAACCTACACTATGGCCCACTATAATACATTGAGAATTAACAGCAATTTTACCTTGCAGATCATGGTAAAACACACTTGATTCAAACTGGACAGAAACAATATAAAACTCACCAAATCCTGACTTTGTTAGTCTTTCCACTGTTCCAACAATCACCAACTCTGGTTTGGTCAAAATAAGTTTCCACTCTCCTCAAACCCAACAGTCTCACGCTGAAGGGAACAGAGAGGGCAACAACACACACACAGTTAATGTGTGACATCATTCTCTACTCAGGACGCCATTATTCCACTATATCTTTACCTAGCAAATAGTTGTTTGCTGCTATATTATTTTTCAGAATCTCATATGGCAACCTTTTTATGTATGTCATGACCAAATGTTTCCCTCCTCTCCGAACAGCAATAGGCAATGCGTACGCAGTGCTGAGCAATCCAGAGAAGAGGCAGCAGTATGATCAATACGGAGATCAAGCCGCAGCTTCGAATGCACCCCAACACTCCAGCAACAGTCGCCATGGATACTACCGAAGCTTCCACAGAGACTTTGAGGCTGACATTTCCCCCGAGGAGCTCTTCAACATCTTCTTTGGAGGAAGGTTTCCCACAGGTGAGCAGTGACATTATGAGCGTTTGGTTGGATGAAGTTTTCTGTCAACATGACTGCAGGTACATGAGCTCCACATACAGTCAACAAACAGGAACAAATTTAAATTTTCCGAAAAACAGCTGGCATGTTTTCTTTGTAAATAATTTCATTGAAAGCTAAATGAATCCATTTGTTCAGAGTTTCATCTTAAATGCTCTAAAATAGTGCACTATATTATTATTATTAGTAGTGCTAGTTGTTATTGTTCTCAGTATTGTTTATAGTTGTTGTTGTCTGCTGTAGTTTTAGCTATATTATCAACTGTCTCATTGTGGAAGTGTAGATGCTTTAGAACGGTGTGTCTCTCTACAGGAAATATCCACGTGTACACCAACCAGGGAGCCTCCTACTCTCAGTTCTATCAGCCTCGTCGTCGACGTGCTTATGAGAGGCGCGAGGAGGTGGTGGAGGACAATCAGAGTCAGGTCAGTGACTCACAAAACCCAAAGAAAAAATCGCAGTTAAACAGCGACAGTATTATGTTGCGATGTTCTTGTGGAGATGAGGGAGTATTCCAGTCATTAACATGCACTGGAGGACCATTGTAAAATGAGACTTTTGGGGGTTTTAAGATGCCTGTATCCCCTCAATCATGATTTATTTCATGTCAGTTATTTACATTCCGCTTATAACTGAAGTGCCTCTGTTGCGTTGGAAGATAGTGGTTTGCTTCAAAGAGACACAAGTACTGTGCTGGCATGAGTACAGTGTTACCAGTGCAGCCTACATACAGTATTATATGCTTTGTAATCTGTGCTGATTTTATCTTCCCACAGAACACCTTCACAGCGTTCCTGCAGCTTCTCCCCGTGCTGGTGCTAATCCTCATATCAGTGTTTACTCAGATGATGGCCACTAACCCGCCCTACAGTCTCTTCTATAAGCCGTGAGTCTGTCATACTGTCAACCTCACTACAGTGACATTTTTTAGCAAATCCCCGGGTTCCACCGTGGTTAATATTGTACTGAATACTCACTGAATACATATTGTTTGGGTTTCAGGGCCATGGGGCTGGTGGTGTCCAGGGAAACGCATCACATGGGTGTACCATACTATGTGGATAAAGGTTTTGGGAAGGAATACAGTGGTGCGGCGCTGGACGAACTAGAGAAAACCATTGAGAGCGACTATATCGAACACCTGCAGAGTAGCTGCTGGAAAGAGAAACAGCAAAGTAAGCAAGCAGCTAATTTGGGTTAAACGGGGAGTATGTTTTAGTTATGGTGCAGGTATAACTTTAATAAAGCTCAATTGATCCTGATTTTTAGGAAATCTTTTACAGATTTTTCTTTCCTGTGACATAAGCACGCCCTGAAATTCACATTGCATCCAGTTGGTCAGCGTTAAAGGAATAGTGCATCATTTTGGGAAATTAGCTTATTGAATTTCTGGCGGAGATGGTAAGATTAATAGTACTCTCATTCTGTATGTTAAATATAAGCTACAGCCAGCAGCTGGGAGCAGTAGCTTCCTGGAGTCTCCACTAGTTGCCCAGCAACAGAAATACTCAGATAGCACATAACTCCCCCATAAAACAGTACTATTTTTGTTTTTTGTTTTTTTGTTTTTTTCTCCTACAGGTTAAACAAACGGCACAATATAATGTGTTGTGATGTGTAGAGGTAAGCTAACCAGCACCTGGCTGTAGCTTCATATCTACCGTACAGGCGTGACAATGGTATCGATCTTTTCATCTAACTCTCATGCGTTTTTCCCAAAATGTGTGTAAAAAGACGTTTTAAATAGCTGTGACACATCTTTCTCTCGTCTTCTTCTTTTCAGAATCAGACTTGGCAAACCTGGGGCAACTGTACCGAGATGAGCGCTTAAAGCAGAAGGCAGAGTCAATGAGGCTGGACAACTGCGAGAAACTGCATCGACTGGTTGGGCGTCAAAGAGGCAAATGAGGACTGTTTTGAGAGGAGAACACATTTCTTTACAGACTTAGAGCACATTTTATTGAAGTGTGTAATTTATCCAATCTGGCCACCTTGTAAAGAAATCTCTTTTAGGTACAGTGCAATCAGTGGGAGATTATGCCGCTGGAAACAATGTGCCTTCTCTCCTCTTTGATAGTAAAAAACAAAAAAAACAAAAAAAAAACATAAGAGTTGCATGTTAGCTGGCAACCCTGTCTGTTGTGGTGGCAGCATCAAATGCAAACTCACTGTGGCAGTGTGTATGATGTCTCAGAGCCGTTAAACTTTCTTATAGAAATGGCATGACACACGGGGTCTCCCTTTGGGGTGATGAAGGCAGTTGTATGTTCACACATAATGTGTTTTATTTGTTTTAGGTTTTGTAGTTTACCTGTATTTATTTTCTTGAATGTTTTTGTGTCCCTTGAAATTTTAGGTGAATTTATTTAATAGTTAATAGAGTGAATGTCATCTTTTTTTTTTTCAGGTAGGAAGTAATGCAGTACAGTGACTTAAATAATACTGTAGTCTTTGGACAAATCTGAGAGCTTCTGTACTGTGAAATAACAGGACCTTTTTATTTATCATTTAAACACAGACAAATCAGACCTTAGAGAGGACTTCTATACTGTGGTTAATCAGACAATTTGACCTCTGGCACTAAAGCAATAGGAGGCACAGTAGTGTGAAATTTTACACCAGATTTTTCTTAATGTGCTTATTACAAAAGATTGTATTTGCCAAACAAAAAACGAGCTGTCTCCTATAGTAGAGTTTCCCGCTCCCTGCACTACTGCTTGCATACCTGTTTATTGCATTGGTGATTAAGCTTCTGCCATTCAGGAACCAGTGGTTTAGCTGCAGGCAGGTGTTTGAGGTGATAAATGGAAGAAATGACTGTTGTGTGTTGAGGCCATGTTTTGAAGTACTTTTGATTTGGTTTGTCACAAGCAGGTAGGTCCACCTCAACCAAAAAGCCCACCTGGAAGATGTGGGAAGCTCAATTGTGAGCAGTATCTGTAAGGAAACTGGGGCTGACATGGCCCATATAAAAAAAAAAAATGTTTTCGTTTATAATGGTGTTTTATAAAGACACATTTTGTTTCTCATTTTACAAGTATTCTACTAAATATCTGTGAACATGAGCCACTTTCTTCCACAGCTAGGAACCAGAATTGTGACTTGTCAGGTCTAGTAGGACGCTAACTTTGTGGAGTTCTTAAGTTTCTTTATACCAGCACCAGATCCTTCAAACCCCTATACAGACATCGCTACCAGTTGCCAAACTGCCTTAGCGGTTCTCATACATGTGAAATATTCAGGTTCATCTCAAGCACTTTTAAGTTAATATATAATCCTGTGTTCCATAATGTTACTGTTGCATGCAACCTAGTGAGAGAATGTTTTATTACTTAAATATTTATTTTGTGCGAACACATCTTCATGACTACTGACCATACTTCATGATTAGAATATTCAGGGCCACACTGTAACTCACGAACATGTAAATCCTTTACTGTGATGCACAAAAATCAGGTTTAGGTACCAGTCAGCGAGGCAGTACACTTGAGCAACACTGCAGAATTCAGTTTTCAGCCAAAATTACCAGAAAAATTAAAGATGTAACCAGAATCTGTTTTGGCCTGTCTCATTTGTTTGTCATTGGAAGGGGGTTCGATTCTTTGAGTGCTTTGTGTGTTTGGTCCCATCATTAAGCAGAAGATGAAAGCTGCAGGAGAGTAGACAATGTCAAGCTGGGCTATTAGGCAATCAAGGACTTTAAAATCTATATTTCAAGGTTATCAGTGAGAGTAAAAGTCAAATGTTGGTTATTTGTATTTAAATACTTTAATTAAATCACATAAAATAATCACAAAAGCTTTACTTTCACCAAATGTACGTACTGTGCCGCTTGCTACTGATTTTAGAAAAACATCACATATACAGTAAAGTGTGCCGAAAGGCTTTCGTGTTTCTGTACATTTGCATTGTGGCCTAAACGTGATCTGCTTCTTTGAAATTATGAGTTGATCTAAGACGTTTGTGGCATCATGTATACGAGTTGGCTCTGGTTCAATAAAAACTGAATAAGTTTTATTGGTCAGACTATTTTACACACTGAACGTGACTTTAACAAAAGCCAAACGCAAAATCCTTCATCCATCATCAGCAGCTTCGTGCCATGTGGCCTCTGCTGCTTAAATACAGTCCTGAACAAATTTGACTGCATTTCCCTACTGACATACAGTACATCTAACTTCACTGTCATGGGTTGGGCAAAGCAGACTTATATTTAAAAACAACAATTTAAACCTACTCTCACTGATTTTTGCAAACAACCCTTGCAAACATTTTTGATTAAACGGCTCTTAAACAGCAAGGGTTAGATCTGTGAAAGCGGAGGAGCACTTCAACAGTAGCAACTGGCCTGGTTACTGCTGTGGTGTGTGTCTGTGCTGGTATCGTGAAAAGGTTTTCAGCAAATTCAATCTTAACATATTTGGTTTAAGAGCTCTTTATGAAGTTATGAAGTTTTATTGTTTAAACATTTTAAAGTCCACAAAACAGTTTATTGACGTGACGTCTCAAAAATATTGATGACTCAGAATATGCCTGTAGTTACTGTTTCACAGGAAGTGTAGCAGAGATAAAAAGTCATCACAAACCATACATCCATATTTAAAAATGATCAGAAATTTTTTTTAATGGAAAAAAAAACCCAACTGATTTTATACCAGCAATGAAAATGTTTGTTTTGAAATTAGTATATCCCCCATGATCATTCAGAAATTCTATTTAATTCTGTATAATCAGACTCTGGTTCTGAAGTTCAACCAGGACCCCCCTTGCAGGCTTCATTTCAGCCTGTTTGACCTAGTCTTTCTGAATGCCACACTGTAATCTAGGATTATGCGGTATGTAATCCATATCTGCACGGCTGTCTCAGAAGAAATTAGCTTCTCCATATTAGTCTACCCATTTAATGTAGAGTGCAAGTAAAGGTTATTTTACTGCACATTATGCAGAGGGAGAAACTGTGCAAGTGACAAGAGAGCTAAGTTCAGTCTTCTGGTGTCACACCTTTCACTTCAACTAGGGGACACTGTCGGACTAATGTTTCATTCTGCATGTTCATTTCTTCATCTTGAGGTCAGCTTCTATGGCACAACGGCGCCCTCTGGTGCCTCCATCCTACAGTCAAAGAGAGGAAGAAACAACATTTTAGATGACACTGAGCTGACACCAGTGTTTCACTTAAAAATGTGCTTCAGCTTCTTAAGGTCACAAAGGCAGGCTTTATCATATTTGTTTGAGCTCAGCTCTATATGAAAGAGTTTTTTCTTTGTTTTGACAACTGTAGTTTTTATTCTGTCTTCAAGCTAAAAAATTACAAGAAAGAGAGGGAAAGTTTAAAGGCTTTAGGATGGGTACTTACAAAAAGAGAAAGGAGGAAGGCAGGAGAGGACATGGAGACAGTGTCCTGTAAGAGGAAAATTGTGCATATCAGAGCAGCAAAAGTGCCGATGAAGCAAAATAATGCCAAGAAAGACACAACACAAAGTATATTCAGCACAAGGAAAGGTTGAAATGAGTTGTGGGACAACACATGCCTACATTATTGGTATATTGCCGTGCAAACGTTTACTATTCACGTCCTTGCTGCACTGAATTTGCACCACATCAGATGTTTTTTATTATAAATCTGTAAAAAAAATTTAGGTCATTAACTACATACAATATACTGTATATACTTGTCAACCATATCTCAAAGCATAGCATCAAGCTTTACAATAACCTCCTACCTTCCAGTCAACTACTTACTGGTTTCAGTTTACATCAGTCCACTATGAAATATCAACTTTTGAAACTTGCTTTTGATAGGTCAGTTGTCTTTTAAATATTTGGGAGGAGTGTGCTTCACCAGGCAACTAGGTGTTTAAGTAACAAAGGTAACAACCTGAGCATCAACACTAGCTGACTGTAGAAAAATTTATTTATTTCACCAAAGCGTTTCGGTGCAGGGTTAGATCAAGGTGACTTACTTCGTGTGAGATTATTGTGGTATCGTAATGTAGCTGTTATGTTGGTGTTTTGAAACCGCTTAGTTGTTTTTGTATTCATGTTCTAGTACAAATCTCCAACATCAACATTAGCAATTCTTCACTCAATCACATTATCATGCAAAAAAGAATGTATCTTTCAAATAAAAAAATTTATTAATTGTGATTGATCAGGCCAATTATCTGCCAATTAATGTTCATACTGTCGTGAAATTAATGGAAAACGAGCTTTCTTGAAGGTAGAATATCAATGTAAAAACATACTGTATGCTTTGATAAATAGTTGTCAGTAATGCTCTTTACATTATTGCCTACCATTTTCCAAAGCATAACATATGTTTTAAAATAAATGTCTGGCTTTCTGGTCAACCATTGGTTTGAAGCCTCTTTGAGATACATCCAGTAATCACCACAGTGAATGTATTGGGGTTTTTTTTGTATAGTAATGAATTCAAAGTTAACCAGCCATCCAGGAAAGGTTAGATTATGGTCTCAAAAAAATTATTGCATTCATTAGCTGATGTCTGAAAAGATAAATAATAAACAAATATGGACATTGAGAAAATGCATTGTGATTTTTGGATAAAACATTGACTTCTGACAAAAAGGTTTTTTGCTATCACATGTTTCAAGTCTCGGTAAGTTGATTTTGACAGCATATGAAACCAATGGCTACCCGAAAGGATATCATTCTAAAAACTAACGTCATGCTTTGGAAAATGGCAGGCAGATCAACTTTAGCATCACTTTCTTCTACCTTTAAGTCAGCCTGTTGTCTCACCCTTGTCTCTTCTTCTGTACTCTCTGCTTTTGTCAAAATTCTAGTGAAGCACCTTGTCAGTAGAGTCCTGTTTGCGTGTGCTCTCACGGCCCCTCAGGCTCTTGGCGCTGATACCAGACTCTGATGTCTCCATGATGAGCTGGGTGGCTAGAAATTGCTGGATCTGCTCCAGGACATCACGCTGCATCTCCAGAGCCATGTGGTACACGTCATGATCCAGGCTGTTGTACATGACCGCATTCTGAAACATCAGCATGATGTCCCTCTGGAACTCGGCGGTGGTCCGTATCAAACCAGTCTCAATGTTCTTTTTTATGGTGGCCAGGTCCATGGGCCTGTAGGAGGGAAGAGCAAAGACGCGGTTAGAGTGTAAAGTCAGTCGAGTCCGTGTGATCTGATGAGCTGTTGAGGGCTCCTAATTGTCACCCAGCGAAAACAAGGCACAAGTGATATGACAAGTATCCACTATAAAAATATATAAATCAGTGAAATGAAAAGAGCCGTAAAAAATTACCACAGCAACCATGTGCTTACCTGTGAACAATACCATGGTATCCAGGTGCAATTTCATCTGTTACTGGCTGCAGGAAGACATTTGCATACCTAGAACAGGTTCATATAAATTACATGTTCTAGTCATGCACAGTCACACAAAGAATTAAAAAATGGAAATAAATCAAAGGGTTTGGCATCAGTGGCTAGAGTCATATTCTGACCTGTGATTGGCCGCTGCACGCCAGACGAGCATAATGGCTTTCTTCCAGATCTTGTGAGCCTGTAAAGCTTCCAGGTCCTCACTGCACACAGAACTGCACAATGGCATGTAACAAGAAAGGTAATGGGAACATAAATGTCAAGATTTATCACGCGGAACCTGATGTGCAGCATGACATGGTGAAAAATTCCTGTTGCTAGTTGACAAAAATGAAAGACAATCTGCTTACATGAGATCATGAGCACAATCTATGGCGCAACTTCACCACCATCGCTCACAACTGAAAACGTTCCTTGCCATGTGTGCCTGAATGTGTTTCACTCACAACTGGGATGAGGCAGGGCTGCTGGGGATGGAGTCAGCGGTTGTGTGAAGCTGCAGAGACGAGGAAGCCGTGTGGAGGCTGTATCCATCTTCACTCTCGCTTGCCGCGGGTTCTAGCTCCATCTCCCCGTCTGGCTCGGACAAGAATCCCTCCACCCCATCGCCCTCTTCTTCTCCACACACTTCCAGCCCGTTGACCTCAGGGTGCACTCTAGTCCCCGAGGCATTCTGTCCTCGCCGAACACTTGTTCCATCCTCCGCCTTCATGTCCTGCAAAGGAGGAGAAAGGTGCCGAGAGATTCAAAAAGAAGGTACAGTGCAGGAATACTGTGGAGCTAGGCACATTTCAGTACAGCAATTACAAGCATCGTGTTCGCTCTGTCCTCGTTGGGTGCTATACCTTGGGATGCCTTTCTGTCAGTGGGCTATCTTCTAATACTGAGTCTGCCAAGATAGTAAAGATGAATAATAAGAAGGAAATGGTTATGCAAAATGCATAGTTACATGCAAACTGCATGTTATGAAGCAAGTGAATACTAGTATTTATGCATGGGTGTACGTACCTTCATGGGGTTTATCAAGTCTTTGCTGTGCCCACTTCTCACTGTCGCATTTTATGGTAACATCCAATGAAATTTGACTTTTTTGGTGCACCCTCTCTCCAGTCTCTCTCATTGCCTCAGGCTGTGGAAGTGCTCCAGTGTGACAGTGCTCAAAACTCTTTGAATTGCATGAGGACGAGGAGGTGGGTGGAAGGCTCCTTAGTCCCCGGGGGAATGCTGCGAGACAGTTATCACGACTGCTGCGCAGAGAGGAGAGTGAAGCTGAAGTCCCACCCTGAACTTGTAACACTTCTGCCTTCCCCTCCAGGCTACTGAGCAGAGATGAGGACTGTGGGACCTCTGAGGGCCCTGTGGGGTGAGACTCGTGGTGCTGGAAAGGCCCAGACTCCCAGGCACCAGACAAAGCATGGCCGTTCTCCTCACACAGTGACAGAGCAGCCTCAACTGCAGCTGCATCCAAAGCCTCTGCAGTCTCGTCTGCCTGTAGAAGAAGAGATATGACTCTACATCTTAAAGAATAATTGATTGTTTTTATCATAGTTTGCCATGTCCCTAAATCTCAGTGGTGATGTTGGTGAATAAGCTATTAGCTGTTATAACTCACTAGATTTGTGACACAAATAAGAATAACCCTATTTTTAAAGAACTTAATTTTCCTTTAAAACCTCAAGCAGAAATTACAGACACTTTAATCTATGCTGTGTGCAGTGAAAATTTATAGCACCTTGTCCTCAATGATGGCGATAATGTCCCCCACTGTCTTCAGATCCAGCTCATCTGCCATGTAGGACGCAGTCACATCCTCCTCACTGAGCTGTGACACCTTATCCTCTGCAGGGACAGGCTGGCATCCAGGGGGCACAGACATCACATCCACTTCTGCAAACAGACAAACATCTGATTTTCAACTTTTGCATGTTATTTTTTTATGCTTTTGTCCAGATAGACTTTTAAACTGGCGGCAGTAGCAGTTTGAAAAGCATTACTTTGGAATTTTTTATTTCACAGCAAGTGCACGCTCATTTTTAAATTTTAACCACAATGAATCTGAACTACTGTTTGCTCTTATTTTAATAAGCCTTTGTCTGTTACCTTCAACTTTAACATTTGTAGCTACATTATATTACATCTTTGAAATGGCCAACAAAGTGAGGGTCTGAAAGGGTCTTTAGCTACAAAGCAGGTGACATTAAGGACGTGAGGACGTCTAGCCTGAGAGGTCTGGATACAGGTCAAAGTGGACAGACCTGTACTTGCTGAAGCAGTAGAGTCAGAAGGAGCAGGAGTGGCAGCAGAGAGTGGAGCAATGGAGGCTGAGTCTGCACTGACCATGAAACCTAAAGGGGCAGAAAACTGGGTAGGACCTGCCTCCAGGAGACGAGACAACATCGGGGCACCTGCCATGCAAGCATTCACACACATTAACACACAAAGTGCAGATTGCAGACAAAGCAGCGGAGGCTTTCAGCTAGAGTATTAGCAAACAGCTTAGACAATAGTAGCACTTTCATCTAAAAAAGCAAACATACATTTAGGATTCAAGGGCAAAAGTTAACAAATATTAAACGTGTTCCCACAAATAAAGATATAATGTTTGTAACCACAGTATTCAACCCTCTTGGACTTTTTTTCTGTTCCACTAAACATTGTCTTGATTTGCATTAAATGTTATGCAATCAATTCTTTTGTGAGACGTTTGTTTTCACTTTGCCATGAAATTTTTGTTGATCAGTGTCAGAAAAATGAACTGTACACAATGTAATTCAGTGTTGTAAACAAATAATAAAATACTCATATGAGGTTAATACGTTTCATCAGTCATGAACATTGTATCTGTACCTGTTGCCTGAGAGAGTAGTTGACCAGGCGGAGCCAGCTGCAGGTCATGTGCTCCTGTCATATTACCAGTGGGCACGTCACCCTCCCCAATCTGGGATATAAACACAAACATGCGTCAAATATTTTACATGTACTTGGTCTGTTTTCTTGTACATAATGTGCACGTCAAGTATTATCTAGTGTGTCAAGTATTATTATTTAAGTCCCACACTTTATTTAAAAAGGTTAATTTAGAAATGTTGCTGCTGATTCACATATAATAATCCATTATGTCAAAGTGAATTTTAAATGTTAATTACATAATATTTATAAATAGTACAAATTTTTCTACAGTTTGACTTGAATTCCTGTCTGCATGTTTACATGGAGGACTCTACAGGCAGATCTGCAAGTCTGAGCAGATATGTTACCAGAGGAATGTGAGGAGGCAAAGATCTAGTAAAGGACAAACTTATTGTGACACATTAGGGTTTGCCAAGAGCACAGTAGGCTTCATCAGATGGAAATGAAAAAACATGAAACAAGCCAGAAATTTGCTGGAGGTAACTATCCAGCAACCATTGGTCAGGGACTGACTGAATGACAGCTTCTTGGCAGCAATGGGAAATCTTGCAAAGCAGGAACCACTGATGACATATGACAAAGGGCTTGGAGGTAAAAAAAAAATAATGCATGACAGCTACCTGGAAGCAAAAGCAAAAGCCAGCCACCCGCAGTTTGCAAATGGAAGAAACTAAATATAGGAAAAATATTTTGTGGTGCAACGTAAAAGCTGAGGTACGTGGTTTCAACTTCATAAAAACAAATGCAAAATAGATTTAGCGATGTTATAACTCTCAAATGATACATTTTATGGCTTCAAGTCAACTAATTTCAAGAAAGCAAGGCAAAATGATTTCCTGACTGAATGTTCTGTTTCAGTGGCACAGCCTCTTAAGACTTAGACAGAACAACTCCTGCTTAAAAAAACACAGGACATTTGTTAAGGATATGCTTCAGAGTGCATATGACCACAGAGAAAAGTCACCACAGGAATGCAATGCAATGGCTTCACACAGGAATATGAATGATCTTGTGTAGCACAGCCTAAGACAACACCTGAAACCCATTCAGAATGGAGTGGAAATAATTGAAGACAGTTGTTTACACATGTGCCCCATCCAACTTTACAAAGCTTGAGCAAATCTACTGAGAAAAACCCTAACATGGAGGTGAAAACAGACCGGGTGTTAAAAATCCATCAATATTTCTATAATCTTAATTAAATACATGTGCAAAAAATGGCCATAACCACATTGTTAAATACTTCTTAAATGCACAGTAAATCTACAAATGATGAGATGAAGATGGGATGTCCTACAGACTTGAACATATCTATTTCAGAGCTTGGCACAGTTGGCACAGTACCAGTAAGTCCCCTTCACATACCAGTCTGGAATTTGTGGCCAACATACTGCCTTTCTTCAGTAACTCCGACAGGAGTGGAGATGGCGGTGGTGTGGATTTCTGTCCCAGGAGCTTCTTTTGGGTGGGGTCATCCAGAAGTGAGCTCTGACTGATGTCATCATTCCCAGGTCCAGAAGATTCAGGAATTGTCATTAATCTGGCAGATCCTGAAGCCTAGAGACAGACAGAGGAAAACGTGAAGTCATATTATCATTCCAATCCAGGAATGTTGTCGATGATCAACCTGTAATCAACTCTCTTGAGTGTCTTTATTATGATTTTGTCCTCCAGCTTTAAGGGAATGGTGAGGAATGTTAGACCCCTTTATGAAAGATAAATAATAAAGATATATTCTAATCCTGTTACGCCTTATAGCAGTGCTGGCAAGTTATCTTTAGTAGTTAATACGCAGAATATTTTACACATTACCAAGCCGTTTATGTGTGCCATGGCCATAGCACAAGGTTTCTGGTTTTTACAATAACCAGAAAATGGCTAATTACTTCTAAACATGAGGTACACAAGACCCAGCTCAAAGATGAAAATGGATTGGTCTCAAGAAGAGGTATGATTATTGAAAAGTAGGGCAGACCTTAAATACATTTGGACCTTCAGTGACTTACATTCTTTGTCGATACCAGATCCAGTGTCAAGCATTCAAGTGCGTCACCTGGTGAGAACTCATGGCTTGGGGAGCTACAGCCTGAGGACGAATGCATGTTGATGCCGAGCACTCGCTTTGGTGTGTTCTTTGCCACCTGTCTGGCTGAAAGAGGGAGGGGCAGCAGACAGGATTTTCTTATCAGTCACACAAAAGCTGGGGTCTGGATCTGTGGTTGCAGGCCACCTACTGCCCCGACATTCCTGCTCAACACACTCTGCTACAATTATTATAATAGCCCTATTATTATTACCATAAATCTTCAATTAATAGCTCTGGCTTTTATTTGCTTCAATCACTGAACTCACCCTGTCTATATCTGGGACAGGCCTTTAATTCTTTTACCATGCTGATAAATCTGGATGATTATCTTTTGGTGCCCATTGTTTTCGTAAAATGAACTAAACAATTGAAATCTGGAGAATCTAATTGATCTAACGATGTGTAGCACATCTATACTGACAAAAGTTTAAAGATTTATATTATTTGTATGCACGTTCTAAGCAGCTCAGAACTCAGTTCAAGCAGGTGACCTGGTGGGCTTCAAGAGGTTTCCTACATCAAATGAACATCCATAAAAACCAGAATAGCCGTGTAATTGAGACCTGCCTTTATTTGTCAAAACGTGTAGCCACACTAGGCCAGTAAAAAAGACAGGTGTCTAATTGAAGTTGTACGGTATTATTATTATTGGTAGTAGTAATAGTATGGCTATCATCACTGATATTTGTATTATTACCACTACCGTTACTATTATTTTACATCTTTATCTGTTGGGCTACTGTGTGTTCTCTTTCCTCTTGCTCTCTCTCTCTCTCTCTCTCTCCCCCAGTAATACACTAAAAGATCAATCAATCTGCCACCTCTAAAATCTGTTACACTTTCAGCTGAAGTTGAATGATGGATAATGTCTCCAGAAAATGGGCCAAGAGATTGTAGATTAAACAGCTGAGGATGTTTCAACTGAACAATTTTAAAGTGATCTTAGCTGTTTTCCATAAATATAGGGCTGGGCGATATGGCCAAAAATGTTATCACGATAAAAACATTTCAGATCATTCGATATCACAAGATATGTCAAATCCTTATTTCTTTCAAGTTTAAAGGCAGATTTTTGCTCTTGAGTGAAAATTGAAGAAACCAGATGGTTAATTAAATAAACTTATCTTTATGGTCAGAATGGGACAAACCCTTGATGCCAAACAATGGATCAATTCACAAGTCTGAGGCAGAAGATTTAAAACTATTTTTTTACTACTTTTTCAACAAATATGATTAGTTAATGTTTTTTCAGGCCTCTTTTTTCAACAAAATAAATATTTTAATAGAAAAATTAAGTGCTAATTTGTTTATGATACAAATGAATTAAAGCTAATATTTATTGACAATATATATCGTCAATAAATATTTCCAATATATTGAACATTTATTATATTGTTATTGAGGAAAATTATATTGCGTTATCATTATTGTTTTATTGCCCAGCCAATTCTATTTTGATGTTTGTGCAGATTCTAAGTCATCCAGGTCCTAGTTATCCAAGGTGGGTTAAAATCAAGATAATCAAAGATGTTTCGCCTCTAATCCAAGAGACTTCTTCAGTTCAGTAATTCAGTATAGGTGCCCCCCCCCCAAAAAATACACTTTAAAAGTGAAGGAGATACCCTGATAAGAAGAATCTGCATTTTTTCTTTTCAACTCTGCTTCTTCTTCCAGTTTCTTCTTCCTGACAGAGACACATAAGACAATTTATGTTGGTTATTATTGAAGTGTTGAATGTCTAAGCTTTACAAACAGAAAAATAAATGCATTGTATCATTGTATAAACCGGTCAGTTTGTTGTCTTCTTACAGCAGAATTTCTTCCCATAACTCTTCTAGTTTGGAATCTAGATGTCCTGCTTGAATCAGTTCAGCTTCTTTCTTGAGCTTCCTATTAAAACAGCATTACATCAACCAATGTCATTGATGCAGTTTACGATGCAACTTTGTTGTTTTTTGGGGGGGGGGTTTCAAGACGGTGATGTGAAAACTGGCAGCTATGCTTGTTTACCTGTGCTTCTCCTGTGTTTCTTTGATCAACTTTTTTAGTTCATCAATCCTGTCAGCCGTCAGCCTGCGTACTATCACATCCTCCACTGTCTCCACCACTTCACCTTTCTCACCACGCTTCCGCCTGATAGCAACAAATGCATCATCAGTTAAAGACATTGCTTTCTGGCATTTACTGTTAATGCATGTGTCAAACAGTATAAAGCTATGTAATCTTTTTTAGCTTGCAAGTCTCCAAAAGCATGCTTGAGGTAAAAGTCACTTATGCACTCACTTTGGGGCCTCTGTTGTTTCCAGGAGCTCAGAGTACTTGGAGGCACAGTGCTGTGAAGAGCCAGAGGAGAATCAAGAACAGCTTTGAGACAGGACAGAATATAAAGAGGAAAATCTTCTGTGGAGAAGAGAATTTGGTCTTTGTGTTCTGCAGAAGAGTGAGCTCAGATTTTGTCATTTACCTTTTGAGAGAACCAGTCAGGTGGTCTCCCAGGTTCTGCAAATGGTTTGATGGCTCGACTGACAGATACCCTGTTGAGATGAAGACATTTTGTAAGACGATCCAAAATGAAATACACATTAAACTTTAGTCTTTATACATAGCCATGTAGCATGTGACCTCTGACAAATGTTCTACACTACTATTATAAATGATTGCATATTACTATATCATAGACCGGGTGACACACAATTTTTGCATGCAACAATCACAGAACAATCACTGGCACCAGCTTTAGACAGTGGCAAAAACACTAGTACAGCACCAGTTCTGGTCTCCGCTCTTCATGACAGATGTGGCCAAACACAGCTTCTCCCTCACTGACCATGGCTCTGTTGGTCCAATGACAAGCAGCTTGTGTTCTTCAGATGTAGGGGTGCGTGGGGGGGGGACGGGGGGACGGGACAAAACATGATACACGCTTAATATATTTTAACAACACCCATGTCATGCATGTTCAGATACTGCTGCCGTTCTCAGGCCTGCTACCGACAGCATGGTTAATCTCTTGAGCTTGGCTTCATTTGTATGCCACCTAAAGTTGCACAATATGCCAGCAGTTTGCTATGGTATACATACAGTAAGCTGCTTAGAATCAGCATACATAAACCATGTCGTTTATACTGTTGGTGGTAAACAGGAACCCCCACTAGTGTAAACAGAGCTGTCAACCCCTGATGACAGCCATTAATCCTTGCAGGCTCCCCTGCAGGGAGCGGAGGCTGCCGTGCAGGAAGTTAGTGGCAGCAACATCAACTGTACGACACACTCACAGCTAACGGATAGCATGTCTGGACATTTGCTATATACCAACGTTAACGTTACTCACTTCCAACCCCGTTTGCCATCTTCCTGTCATCCCGACATCACATACATCTTGGTAGAGAGAAGCCCAGCTATTAATAACACTTGCGAGATCCGAAAACGATATACATGAAATGATGGACGTTAACATCAATGAATGTTACGTTATGGATGTTGAGGCTTTCAAGGATTGTCTCTCTAGCTAGCACGCTGAATCACCGTTGTCCGTTAAAGTCACTGTCTCGTGTGTCTTAGCTATTGATAACTTAAAGATTAACTAGCTAGCTCTAATGCTGTGTAGGGCTTTCTCTGTAAAGACTCGCAAAAACGGGTTAATTTCGCGTGAAGCTCAACAGACTCTATGCTACAAAGTAACAGCCACATAATAAAAGTCAGCTTACTGTACTCACTAACGTTATTTCATTTTAGCTAGCAGCGAGCTGTTCGTACACGCCCACCACAGTAGCTTAATGGTGGTACAAACCTGGCTGCTGTTAACTAACGTTAGTCTTTTTAGTCTAACTTAGCTAAGTCGCTTGTTTTTTCAGTTTTATAAAACGAAATCCTTTCTCGTAACTGAAGAAAAAGAAGACCAAAACTAACAATTCAGTGTTTAAATACAGACTCTTTTTTTTAATCTTATGGGCTAAAATGTAGGGAGGATATCTAATGCCACTTTTGTGGTTAGGCTAAAATCAGGTGGAAAAAAACTTAAGGTTAACGTTAACTTACCTACTTTTGACAATAAAATCATTTCTCATATCAAGCATTATGTCATTGGAAAAAGTGCTGTACAGTTATTATAAGTTCGCTATAGCCAATTACATGTATCATACATATGGAATATTTAACATGCCAAATAAGTTAAACAAAGATAAAAATTGAAATACAATAGACATTCTTATATGTATTGCTATTTTTATGTTGGCATTGACTGTGTCATAATTAAATTAAAATGACATTTATTTTGTTTTTTGTGACATTTATTGTTTTTAATTTGTTTGTCTTAATTTAATTGAGGTTTCCATGCCACGTTGAAAGTAAATCAGAACACAGAAAAAAAATAAGCTAAGATATTTCCAGTTAACCTGTAAATGGTGTTCAAACTTTGTGAAATGCTAAGCAGGCTTTTTCATAAAACCACATGTCTTTCAGGCATAGAGCAGCAGGAGCAACTGACTACAAAAACTGATTTGTTGCCAGTATGATGCAGCAAATTATGCCAGAATAGATTTCTCTTTATTAACTTTATTTATTTATTTATTTTGTGTTTTAGTAGATTTACTAATAGAGTTGAAAACAGTAGTAACATACTTTACAATCTATTTTCTTAGGCTACATACATATTAAAAATACACTGCAAATACCAATTCAATTTTCAATGTGTCTCACTACTACTCTACTTATAAATAAAATAAAAGATATTGTAATATTGTTGTATAGACCCATCTCATGTATATCTGTGCACCCACAATCAACATTTTCTGTGATCTGAGAGACTCAAGTCATGAAAACAATTTGTAATAAACAAGGAGACCTGCTAGCCTACAACTCATTGCATAACTATTCAAAAAACTCTTAACTCTGAAGAGAGGAAAGAAAGTATGGTCAAAGACATACAGTGGGTACGGAAAGTATTCAGACCCCTTTAAATTTTTCACTCTTTGTTTCATTGCAGCCATTTTCCAAAAATCAAAAAAGTTCATTTTATTTCTCAGTAATGTACACTCAGCACCCCATCTTGACAGAAAAAAACAGAAATGTAGAAATTTTTGCAAATTTATTAAAAAAGAAAAACTGAAATATCACATGGTCATAAGTATTCAGACCCTTTGCTCAGTATTTAGTAGAAGCACCCTTTTGATCTAATACAGCCATGAGTCGTTTTCGGAAAGATGCAACAAGTTTTTCACATCTGGATTTGGGTATCCTCTGCCATTCCTCCTTGCAGATCCTCTCCAGTTCTGTCAGGTTGGATGGTAAACGTTGGTGGACAGCCATTTTCAGGTCTCTCCAGAGATGCTCAGTTGGGTTTAAGTCAGGGCTCTGGCTGGGCCATTCAAGAACAGCCACGGAGTTGTTGTGAAGCCACTCCTTCGTTATTTTAGCGGTGTGCTTAGGGTCATTGTCTTGTTGGAAGGTAAACCTTCGGCCCAGTCTGAGGTCCAGAGCACTCTGGAAAAGGTTTTCGTCCAGGATATCCCTGTACTTGGCCGCATTCATCTTTCCCTCGATTGCAACCAGTCGTCCTGTCCCTGCAGCTGAAAAACACCCCACAGCATGATGCTGCCACCACCATGCTTCACTGTTGAGACTGTATTGGACAGGTGATGAGCAGTGCCTGGTGTTCTCCACACATACCGCTTAGAATTAAGGCCAAAAAGTTCTATCTTGGTCTCATCAGACCAGAGGATCTTATTTATCACCATCTTGGAGTCCTTCAGGTGTTTTTTAGCAAACTCCATGCGGGCTTTCATGTGTCTTGCACTGAGGAGAGGCTTCCGTCAGGCCACTCTGCCATAAAGCCCCGACTGGTGGATTGCTGCAGTGATGGTTGACTTACTACAACTTTCTCCCATCTCCCGACTGCATCTCTGGAGCTCAGCCACAGTGACCTTTGGGTTCTTCTTTACCTCTCTCACCAAGGCTCTTCTCCCCCGATAGCTCAGTTTGGCCGGACGGCCAGCTCTAGGAAGGGTTCTGGTCGTCCCAAACGTCTTCCATTAGAGGATTATGGAGGCCACTGTGCTCTTTGGAACCTTAAGTGCAGCAGAAATTTTTTTGTAACCTTGGCCAGATCTGTGCCTTGCCACAATTCTGTCTCTGAGCTCTTCAGGCAGTTCCTTTGACCTCATGATTCTCATTTGCTCTGACATGCACTGTGAGCTGTAAGGTCTTATATAGACAGGTGTGTGGCTTTCCTAATCAAGTCCAATCAGTATAATCAAACACAGCTGGACTCAAATGAAGGTGTAGAAACATCTCAAGGATGATCAGAAGAAATAGACAGCACCTGAGTTAAATATGAGTGTCACGGCAAAGGGTCTGAATACTTATGACCATGTGATATTTCAGTTTTTCTTTTTTAATAAATTTGCAAAAATTTCTACATTTCTGTTTTTTTCTGTCAAGATGGCGTGCTGAGTGTACATTACTGAGAAATAAAATGAACTTTTTTGATTTTTGGAAAATGGCTGCAATGAAACAAAGAGTGAAAAATTTAAAGGGGTCTGAATACTTTCCGTACCCACTGTATCTGTAAATGTTGACTTGAAATTAAGAGTTGTGAAAAACATCTCTAGCCTACACCAGTGTTGATGGGAGGCCACTCTGCCCTCCCCTCTGGTTTCATTGATCCCATGATGTAGCATGAACAATAAGAGAGAGGAGACATTCTGGTTGGCTAGCTGCATGGATGGTTAGAGTTTATACATGTCAAGCATAGGCAACATTATTAAGCAGGTCTCTTGAGAATGAGACCCCGTGTCTCAATGAGATTACCTGTCTAAATAAAGGTTAAACAAAAAATACACATAAAAGTTCTTACTAAGTAGGACCATAGAATCTGAACATCGCCTGCTTGAATTATGCAACACAACACTGGGCAAATTATATTTTTGGGCCACTGGTGACAGAGGTCGGTTAGGTGAAGCAGCAGGACTTTCTAGTCATATGGTCCACAGAGAGAGACCAATTACTACAGGGAAACAAATGTTAATGAGGCACTTGACATTTAACTCCATCGCACTGCCACTTTGCCCCCTGCTGCTGTGTGGAATAACTGGCAGCTCTACAGGAAAGACTGGCAGCCTTGTAGAGGATAGCTACAACATCAGACAAATAATTCCGTTGTCTGAGAAAACTCACACCTTGAAAAAAACTCAATCACTTACCTTTCAAAATTACTAGTGGATATAATGAATGTTATCCAGTGTTCTTGTGTATTTTGTTGTAGGAAAGAATTAGCTTGAAATACATTAACATATTACTTGTGAACCACTGTGCATTTAGAGTCATTGCTCACTACTGTCACCATAAATCTGCACAATGCTCCATGTGACTTTGTCAGAGAACGGTTACATCTGACGTTTAGCTAAAATCATAAAATATAGAAAGAACAAAATGTTTAAAAATTTTTCCTTCCTGTGATCATGTGCAACATGTGTCTGTCTCTGTGTAGAGACTGAGCCTATCAATCTTCCACAGTTTCTTACAGCTATGGATCACTGTAATGTTCACACAGGAAGCAAACCTTGCATTACCCGTGGGAGTTTGACTGCAGGATTATTTGTGTTTACTTTCCAAAACCTGCAATTTGTGTCTAAACGCTGAAGGCAAAAATTATTATAATATAATAATAAGACATGTATGTAGATGACTTTTGGAGGACTTTTGTTTTGAATTCTAACACTTAATTGTGCCAAATAATAAACTTGATATATTGATTATTCACAAGTGTTCCTGTCAAAAATAAGCCGAATGCACCTAAAATGAATGCACTTGGTAAATATACATCCAAGTATTAGAGATTTGACATTTCTCTAGGAATAAATTACAAAAAAGAAAATTACATACAGCCATGGAAAAACAACCTTCCTCATTATAAGTCTAACGTCTTTTCATGAGTAAAGAGAAAACGTGTTTTTTTCAAATCTTTTATTTGAATTCCTATTTAGGCTCTTTTAAAAAACTATATTAAATGTTCCACCTCTGGGGCTCTTCATTATCTCAGGTAAGCGAGTGATAGAGACTCAAGAGATGAAGGTCACACCACACGCTGCCTTTAACTGCTGCACTGAGCCCATCCTGGGGGCAGAACTGCAGCTTATTATTTGAAGGAGGGAGCATATTGAAGCCTCCCTCCTCATCTGTACCATTAATCTCACTTAATTTGTTACTGTAAGTTGGTGCGGTGGACCCTGTTGAAGACAAGTGGACTTTCACTCCAGGAACCCAACGGTTGCTGTTGGTCTTGCGGTGAGTGATGTTGTGAATTATTATGAGTTAAATTGTACAGGTTTTTTTTTTTTTTATCTAATGTTTAGATGCGTGGAAAACAGACCATATATCTCTGCATGTGTACTGATATTGGCAGCATATTTCACGAGTATGAATAATGTCAGTGTGCAGAAATTATTTGTATTGATAGTGATAAGTGACTAATTTACACTCACAGACAACATAAATGAGTTTTATGTTGTTAACTAATGATGCTTTTCATTTAGTGCTTTTTGAGAGATTCAACTAGTCTGTGAAGCTAAACAGATGTGTAGAAACAACAGTGGGGAAATTAATACAGTTAATAGGCAACTTTTACATCTGCAGTTTTATACAAACATATTATGAAGCAACAAGTTAATGGTAATGTTAGGTGTATTTACATTCTCAGCTAGCGGATGCCCTCCCCTGGGGAAGCTGCTCTGCCTCCCCAGCCCTGCCCTCCTCCTCTGAGACCCTCCTGTGCCACTTGCAGCTGAGACCCAGGGAGCAGAATTAACGAGCAAATTGAAACAGACTCTTAACTATTGCACCTTCAACACATTGTCACGCACTGTGTTTGCTGTGTGTGCACCTTAAAAGTGTAAACATGTTTGTATTTTTTTCTTTCCCCTGGTTTCTTTATCAGTGACACATATACTGTTATTTCTTGTCTGATAACTCAGTATTTGATGGTTTGCTACAGGCTGGCTGAGTTTACCGGTTTAGATGCAGGATGTCCAACAACATGGCCAAGATTGCAGATGCTCGAAAGACTGTCGAACAACTGAAACTGGAGGTCAACATAGAGAGAATGATGGTGAGTCAGCACATTCTGGAGCTACACAGCCAATAAAATTTAATTGGGAATATATTAATCAATAAATTAAATTCTTTGGGTGTTTTAATAAATTGTAAAAAAAAAAAAAAAAAAAAAAAAGGAAAAGAAAAAGAAATGTGAAATTTTTTTTATCCTCTTCCCCTTCCTTTTTTCACACACATACCCTAACACAACCCTTTTGTACAGATATCCAAAGCAGCAGCTGAGCTGATGGCCTACTGTGAAGCTCATGCCAAAGAGGACCCCCTGGTGACACCAGTACCTTCTTCTGAGAACCCGTTTCGAGAGAAGAAATTATTCTGTGTAATACTATAACAACCACATGTACAAGACAATTGTCTACAACATTCAGTTTTGTAATTAAAGTAGCTCTTTGGTGACTAGCTGTACCTGAGGAATGATCACATTTGAACATGATAATGACGGCAATAAAGATTGATTGAAAATGGGTGCAAAGTCCATTTAAGGCCAGTGCTGCTGCCTCTCCTTGTGCACACAGTTTGTACCTGAGCCTATATTAACTCAAATGCATAGCCAAGTTCTCACTAAATGTCATTTGTGCTCTTTAAGTTTGAAAACAATTGTAATAAATCGTTGTTTACATTTTCAAATTACTGTTTTGGACTGACTCATTTTGTGGTAGAAGAAAAATAAATTCTAGATGTTTTCCTTTTTTTTTTTATGTCTACATCATATTTTCACAGCAATACCTGAATTAACAAGAAGACCTTCAGTAAGGTATTGTTTTTCTGCCTGAATGCCACAACTGTTTCCCAGGAGCATGTTCCTTGGTCACAGAAACAAATGCAAATGATGGGTGGGGCTATGTCATGATGACAATACAGGTTTGAGTTGCAGATAACAGGTGTGCACACTTTACACAGACCAGCGTGCTCTCACTCTGACAGCTGTCAAGATTCACAGAGATCTCCTGAGCATTTGGGAATTAGCAGCAGAGAATAAGGTATGTAGATTTTGATAACTATCTGTTTTAACAGTAAAGGCCCAATTTTACTTCTTTTGATGAGCAGAGAATTTGTAGTTAAAGTTTATAATAAATCAATTAGGTGCGAAGTACATCTACCTACAAGCCCATGCCTGCTGATAATTTATGTGAAAATGAGTGAGATTGTTTGTGAAAGGCAGAAATGTGTAGAATCATGACATGTTGCCCCAACAAGTAAAACCATCTAGTCAAGAAAAACTTGTCTGACTGAACATCCGGATCTTGAACACACCCGTGTCTCACGTCTACCAACACTGAGGACAGCAAGAGGAAGTTAGAGAAGCCACAAACATGAAAAAAGCCCTGACTGGCCACCCTCACAGTGACCATGCTACAAGAATCTGTCTCATTTTTAATTCACATAAATTGGTCATTGGCACCATTGTACTGAAATCCCATTGCTCAGCTTTTCACATTTAACAGTTGAATGAGTATAACCAATATTGCTAAAGCTGAGATATAAATTGCTTTATTGCTTTTTTTTTAAGTTAGGTGTCCTGTTTGATGATGATATGAATGAAATTTTTGCATTACAATTGAGCAGCTTCTGTCTGGATCAAATGGCATATTATACTACTGCATCAGACAGAACACAGGAAACAGTACCAAGTACACAATGTTTCCTTTTTTTCCACTGTATGGTAGATCTTAGCTGATTTAGGAAGTTGAATTAAGTAATATTAGACAAGATTGATGTTTTGGCTCAGTATTAAAGCTGGGGTAGGCAACGTTGAACAAACCAGCAAGAGAGAGCTAGATTTCCATAGTATCCAACTGAAAAAAAACAACCTTACCCCCTCCCTTCAGGCATCCAAAGCCACTCCCCCAAAACACATTTTCATGTACAATGAGATGACTGTGGCCGACTTTCGCCGACTTGACAGTCTAACGTGAGCTGCAGGGGCGGGGAATTAAAACAGCGCTGTCGGACACATTCTACCTGTGTGGGCTGTGAGCTGAGTTGAATGTTGTTTTGCATCGCCGGCGAAAGTCGGATGAAGTCAAACGCACCTATTGATTGCACGGGGCAGAGTGCTCGCAGGTACACAGAATGAAATGATTGGCCTGCAACAACCAGCATTTTTTGATTGCTTGTCGGGAAGTAAAAAGAATTTCAATAAATAGAACAAAAATGCTTCTCTACCTCCTATCGCTTACACTCATAAGTAACATTATCATTTGAAAATATTTTCAGCCTTTTAGTTACTGTTCATACATATTTGGCAAGATTACACTAAATTCATTATGTAACTATGTCATGACATTTACTATGCAATAACCTTAAGCCGCCCATTATTGTGGCCATTTTATTGTCAGCTGCTCTTTTATGTCCTTTTTCCTTCAATTTACAGTTGATTTCTTGTAATCATTACATGACTAAAACACCATAAAATAAAGCCACAAGGTTGTACTTGTTCAGATCTATCACATTGAACAAAAATAATATACATTGTGTTTCCCCTCAAAGGCATGTGCTGATGATTTCTACGCTGTATTTCTTATCTTTTCAAGCACTAACGATGGCCAACTTTGGAGGACATGCCATTCCTGGCTCTTTTTTCATGCTCTATGGCTTTTGGCTAACAGTAAAACACATTATCCAACACTACTGGAGGACAAGTCAGCCTAAAGCAAGACAGATCATGCCGCCTTTCTTAAAGAAGATGGACTACGCCGAGGGAGGATTTCAAATCTTTGCTTCATTTGTTGGTCAGTCTTCCTCTCAATCCATCTGCACACATCAACTCTCTAAAACCTGTTCTTGACTCATCTCATTTGTCTGGTTGTTGTCCTGCCCAGGTATTATGGTTGAACAGTTTGTGGTAGACGGGCCACATGCTCACCTCTATGACAGCGAGAAGAATTCATGGGTCAAGCTGATGAACTGGCAGCATGGTACAATGTATCTGTTCTTTGGGCTATCTGGAATTGCATTAATTGCCAGTACATCCAAACTGGTGCCAACTGGTATTGACCGCCTTGCTCTCTCCGTGGCTCTTTTTATTGAAGGTAAGCTTTAAGGAAACTTTTTTTTGTAAGGAAGAGTTTTATGTTACACATTTTCCCTTCGCATTACAAATATGTTCCGCTGAGGCGTATTTGTGTTTGACTCTTCTATGTCATGCAGGGTTTTTATTCTATTACCATGTGCATAATCGGCCCCCTCTGGATGCTCACATCCACACCCTGCTGCTGGTGGCTGTGTTTGGTGGATCGGCCAGCACTATGCTGGAGGTGTTCGTAAGAGACAACATTATTTTGGAGCTTCTCGGGGCATGCCTGTTCATCCTGCAGGGCACGTGGTTCTACCAGGTGATTACCAAAAGGAGACGCTAAGAACGTTTTTAATTAATGTGATTTGTGGAACACTGTGTGAATGTGCCCATAATCATATCTTGCGCTTTCAGAGCCACTACCAATCGGTATAATACACTTAATAGCCAGACAAGGAATATACTGAACCATAGCACTGTTTTATGACAGTTTGGGGCCATTTACTACAACTTGTGTATACTTCACCATTACTGTTAACCATGTGACAATTTATTTTCTTCATATTCTAGACTGCCAATAGTTTATAAATGTCAGCTTTTTCATAGCTGAATTATCATAATTTAAACTTGGCCTATTTGTAGAGACTTCTCTTTCACACTGATCTCAGACCGGTCTCCTTTTCAAACTCATCATCTGTTTTTATAAGCACCTTAACACTTAACAGAATATTTTGTTTAACATCATAAGCAGTTTGCTCCTTCGTCACACCATTTGTCATTTCAGATTGGATTTGTTCTTTTCCCACTGAATGGACAAGAATGGGACTTGAAACTGCACGACAACATGATGTTCATCACAATGTGCTTCTGCTGGCATTTAGCGGTGGCCATGCTTTTAGTCGCCTGCACTTCCTCTATAGTTTGGCTGTAAGTATCCCATCCTTTCCATATTATATTCATTCATTACACACAAATTGAAATATTTCAAACCTTTTTTTTGTTTGAATCTTGATGATTATGGCTTATAGCTCATGGAAATCAAAACTCCAGTATCTCAAAATGTATTCGCATTTTAGAATAAAGAATTTATAATAGAGAAATGTTAACCTAACAAGAGCTCTAATTAGCTAATTAATGCAAATCACCTGTAAAGGTTTCCAAAGCCTTTAATTTCTATCTGGTTCTGGTTCTCACAATGAACCTTTCCAGGATATTACATTTTTTACTCAAATTCTTCATTGTTAAATGTGAGAGTTTAATATTTCTTCACATTTACTCTGTATGTTGTGCACTGTATTATAAAGAGAAAATGATAGGTGATCAAAACATATTTTGGGTAAAATAGCTGGGGTTCATTCTAAGGTATAGGTTTCAAGAGCAAGTTAAGCCCCTATTGGAATATGAGCTTGTCTGTCTCATGGTAAACAACCAAAACAAAAGGAAGGATAGGCTATACTTCCTTTCTTTCCTTTTATAATAAATACACAAACATTTAGACAACTCAATAAATAACTCACTCTTGAGTGTCTACTTCCCAAAACATTTGATAACATCTGGTCTAAGCTACAGGTGCTTTCCTGTATTCTTGTACTGTATATCAATGTATTTAAGATTAAGAAATTGGATCTTATAATGATTTCAGTAGTGTTGGAAACCTTTAGTTATAACTATCTACAGCTTTCTTAGAACAGAAAACAGCAGGGCTATTTTAGTTTCATTCTGATGTCGGACCTTGCATTTTTAAAAAGGTACCTTGTGATGTTTTTTATAGTCAACATGGTTTTGTTGACATTTAACACTTCTTGCCATGATGCACTGTATCCTTGCGGGCTACTAAACATGTTGAATGAGTGATAAAACTGTTTGCAGGGGCAGTTCTTTTGTGGATGTGTAATGTTTATACTGTTTTGGTGTTACCTTAAACCTTTCTTTTTCTTCCTTCAATAGCACAGTGAAGCGATTCTCAGCAAAGGGGAGGGACATTGAGATTGGAATGCGAAACACATTCTCTAAAACAAGCTCCCAGAAAGCTTTGCTTGAAGAGTCGGATGAAGAGTGAATGCATGGTTATTCTTTAAAACTCTACTAAAATTTGATTAAATTTTCTATGTTGATGGTCTGTGTCTATGACCAAGTCTGCTGTTTGGTACAATGTACTTTCTACTGTTTTTTTGTAAAATAAATTAACAAAATAAAACACAAATCTGTTTAAATATTTTTTTTGGTCTGTTCAAGTATTTGAAAATCCCAAAAGTCCAAGTTATATAAATAACTTGAAATGTTATTGAACTACCAGGCATGTGTGGCCTGCTTTCAAATAAAATACAACACCCGATGAGAGAACAAATGTATTAACAAAATTCAACATGTCACAACATTCATAAATTTGATTCCCACTCACTTCACATTTGCTAATATTGCATTACATCAAACAAATACAGAAGTGAGACAAAGAAAATCCTACAGACAGTCATATAGAAATATGAATTGGTAGTTTAACACAAAGTGGAAAGTTGAAACTAGTCAACCACTAACAAACTTTGAATTACTTTCATAGATTGCAAACTGCCTGAATGTTTATATATATATATATATATAAAAAAAAACAATAACTTCACTTGTGGCAGTTGAAACAAGTTGTATGACAGGGACAAAGCTTGAGAAGTACCCCAACCACTAAATACAGGTACATATATTATGCACCTACGATTCATTGCTGGCTGACGAGATAGGATCACTGTTGAGGTGCAGGCGGATGATCGGGGGCACATTTGGGCGAAGGTGCGGTTGTGACTACAACTGTGGAGACAGATTTTGGGGAGCCTGTTGCCATGTGCTGCTGGAGCTGCTGAGCCTGTACTGTCTGGATACGAACCTAAAGGGAGAAAGACATTTAGCCTTGAGATACTCTGCTTATCTAGCGATGTTCAGTTCATGCACAACGCTAGGATTTTGGTTTTGGCTGGGCCTTTTGATTACAGAATGCCCAGCCATCCTGTTTGGGATGATCTGGCTAGATTATTCTTTGTTGAAGTTGGTGAGTCAGTGAGTGTGTGAGTACTGCAGACCTGGAGACAAAGTCAATTTCAAGGCAATTTAGAGACAATCAAGTCAGTTGGAATTTCCAGCTCTACCACCCGTCTTGCCTACACTGTTCTCTGGGTTCTTCTAGTCTCAATAGTAAATGTTTTTGCAGCTATGAAATTAGACATATTCTACACTTAAATAAGCAGAATTCATATTCTGCAATTAAACAGATTCTGCACAGCTGTGTGATTGGTCCAGACTTCGCACATGACAGCAACTACTACTACTTATACTTTTTAATTTTTTTTAAAGTCTTTATTGAGTATTTAAATGTTAAATTTTAATAATTTAAAACAAAAATTTAGAAAACATGTTCTCCACGTCATTTCGGATGGGGCTGGTTATACAAGTGGGCGGGCCCAGACTCACTCACACGCACAACACTGAGCCTGGTTGTCATAATACAATGTATGAGAAAGATTATTCACAAAACTCAATTGAAGCCATCAAATAACATGAGGGAGTTTTGAAGAGTTAGCTTTAATACTGGTTTACAGTAATTAGCCACCTATCTATTCAGTAGTTATTTTAAACATAGCTGTGTCTATCAAAACTTGTTTTGATTGAAGAGGTGAAATACATTTTTCCCTTTTCTTGACAATATTTTCTCCTTTGCGACACAAAAAGTGAGGTGTGAGCTAACCTGTGTGGCCTGTCCTTGCTGCTGAAGCTGCTGGAACTGCTGTGCTGTGACAAAGCTGACCGGTTTGTTCCCTGCGATCAACTTCGTGCCGGCTGGCATGGTGGTCAGGATGATGTTCCTGCCCAGACTGCTGATACTGCTCAGAAAAGAGGGGGGGGGGGGGACATGTTAGTCCACCAGACAATTGGATAGCTGTAGAGAAGGACCTTGTAAAGAAAACAAACAATTCATTGATAATTATATGATATTGATATTGAATATATTTAGGAGACTCCAAAACTGACTCTTCCGCTACTACAGTGTAAACAAATTTACAAACAATAGAAAGAAATAGTTGCAAGCAGGGTGCATAATTAACTTTTCTGTCCACTGGCCAAATGGCTACTGGATGTTCAAACTGTACGAGCCACTCAATAGATTACCATTGTGTTTTGGCCAGTGAGTTAAGTAAATCTACCAACCATTAACATATTTTACCAGCATTTGGATGGTGGCTGGTGCTAATTTTGTGCCCTGGTTTACAAGGTTGTTGCCATCATCTAACGAGGGAGGCCCAATAGAGGTTAAAGCTCAAGGCATTGACTCTCAGAACACGTGAAAATAAATACATAATGGAAGTGCCTAAACAAATAACAGTGGAGAAGATGAGACATACTTTGTGTTAAGACTTCCTTTCACAATTGGTGTGGTCACAACACTCTTGTTTTTCAGTGGTTGGTTGAGGACAGAGAGGGGCACAGTTATCCGTGCAGGTAACTTCCCCTGTAGTGTCACAAAAGAGGATTGTTCCAGAGTCATGGGACTTTCAAACTGTGCGATTAAGTACAGAGACATGTTTGACAAGAGTTTCCTTAATAAACAGTGCAGAAGGGATCAACACACACATACTTTCATTTCAGTAATAGCAAAGTCAAAATTCCCATTATTGACAATGTCCTAATACACATCCATCAGTAATGCAGATGAATAAAGATGTATAGTTTTCGTTAGTGTTTAGCATAGGCCAAACTGAGCTGTTCGTGGGAGTATTTCTATATATATGCATAGCTGACCGTGGTTTGTTGTTACATGAATCCTCTTACTGTAGGTGCTGGTGCTTTTGACTTTCTACTTTGTATCCGATGACCTAAACAAACATTTGGCTGAACTTGCCGAACAACTTAAGGCTTTGAAAACTACCCTCATCATTCTCAATAATATGACATGATATAATAGTCTATCATTGTAATACATAAAACAGTTTTGTTTGGACAATGTAGAGCTATAACATATATTTTCTCGTATTAAATTGCTGGCCTGTGTCGCTGGGAAGGAGCTCATGAAATGTCATGTTCCCATAGGAACCGACAAAGTTGAACAAGACCAAGAGTCTAACAGCCCAACAGTGAACCCTACAGGCCATGCTGCTTCTACATGTACATCCTGAAAGTAGTTTAACCCGACTGATTATAATTGAAAATTCTTAGTTACACATTCTTCCAAGTGTGGCTAAAAAATTTAAGAATAAAATATTAAATATTAAGATTATCTGTGTACCATAGCTGTAATTTTATTAAATTGCAGACCTCATGCAATGGGAATGTTGGCCAACATTACATTTAAATAAAACAACAACAAAAAAAAAAACTTAAAATATGTACAGAAACTGAAGAATTCCCTTACTGTTTGTGTAGTAACCACTGTAGCGGGGACCTGCCGCACAGTGGCTGTAGCTGTTCCTAGCGTCAGAGGTGAACCCGAGACTCCAGGAGCCACAGTGATCCCCTTAGCACCACCCACAACACTGGCAGCCATGGTCACTACAGTAGCACATGTAGACGCTGTGAGTGGTTTGCCGCCAGTGGTAGTTGTCATTGTAATGGTTTGACCCTGTTTCTGTGGAATAACACCAAGACCTGGCATTATTCGAATAGTGGCGCCGCTCTTGTCAGGGGAAGTCACGGTGGAGAAGGTCCTCGATTTTTGGTCAGCCACGGTGACAGCCAGTGTGGGCATCAGACGTATGGCTGTGTCTCCTGCAGCCTTCAACAAGGTGGAGGCAACAGGGCCTGCTTTAGTGGTCTGTACTTCCCCTGTACAGGATAGAGCACTGGAGGCGGAGGAAGGTGAAGCGTGGGTCGGCGTCACATGGAGAGTAGCTGATATGCTCTTGCTGCCTGCGGTGGCAGTGCCCAGGAAGTCAGGGGTGAGTTTGACGGTTGCAACTGGGGATTTGGTGAGAGTTGCCATCATGTCTGGGGTGATCCGCAGCACCGTCTGGCCTTTAGCGTCTGTGGTGATGGAGGATGGTGGAAGACGCAGGACGTCTTTACCCTGGATGCGCAGGTTTGTAGCCGTTATTGGAATACCTGCTCCTCCTGCAGTCTTCATTCCCAACTGGCCTGTGATGGACACCTTTAAAGAAAAACATTTACATACATACCAACCAATAAATGTTGTGTCATGAACATGGTAAATTACATTTGTTACGGAGATGCATTTTTCAGTCATTGCCATAACCTGTAGACTTTTTCTATTGAATGTTTATTAGCGTTTGGCATTGACTGATCAAGGTGAAATTTATCAATTTTTTCCTACCTATAAATGGCCTCTTTCACTTTTTTAATCTGTCTAATAACTAACTTCCAGCCTGGCAGAGACATTCTTAGCGTTCAAGACTGTTCTGACAGGCCCTACTAGTAGTCGACCTAACTAACCAAATATCCCAGTTGAAACAAAGTGGTTCACCTGTTTGATATTCGGGCTCGTGACTCCTTGCAGCACAGCGGGTGAAGCGGGGTTGTTGGCCGGGCTACCAGGTGATCCAGTTTGAAGTTTGGCCATAGCTACAGACAGGGTTGTCGGCACATGGACTGGACTACTAGCAGTCCTCAGAGGCACAGAAACTACAGCCTATTGGTATGCACAATAAACAAAGACAGTATTAATGATGCATTTTGTAATATGCATCAAAACAAACATCTCTTTATCTGGTTACCTGTGAAATGCCCTTAGTTGCCACCGAAACAGGCATCCTGATCTGGTGAGAGGCCTGATGTACCAGTGTGGCCTGCTGACTTCCTGCCGAAGAGACCAGACCAGGCTGAGCAGAAACAACCCGTACCTGAGGAAGGGAGCTTGCCGCCAGGTGACTCACTATCCGAGCCGTGTGTTGGGACGTGACTGGCTGTGAAGTTGGTGGACCAGCCTGACTGCTGGGTAAGATGGCTCCCAGCTGTGGCAACGAGGGGGGGGACACAAGAAGAACCCTGGCAGAGCGAGAAGGGGCAGAAGCAATTGATAAGAAAAGAGTCTATTTCAAATTACGCAGATAAAACATACATGTATTTAAAAACTATTGTGTCTCACTGACCCTGGGCTGCTTTTGATTGTATCCGGGATTCCAGTCTTCGTTGGCGTGGTGGCTGCGCAGGGTAAGGGTGACTTAGGAGTTCCAGGTGTGTTGGGGGTGGGTGTTGTCGGAGTTGGTGACATTGGATTGGAGCCTATATCCTGTCCTGCCTCCAGACATCCAGGTGTTTTACTGCCTCCGTCTTTACTTCCACATTTCTAAAACATAAACAGGGCTTGAGATTCATAATCAGCAGCTAAAATCTTTCTGAGACACTGATAAACAACTCAAAACTCCAAATAGAAAAACAATAACTTCCACTACAATAAGGGAAATAGAAAAAGTGTTATTTTACATTGTGTACAGCTAGGTGTAGTTTTGTCTGGAGTAAAATGGAGGCAGTGGACTCACAGGCTTGGTTGCAGGTTTAGGTTTCTGCTGCAGGGCTTTTCTTGCTTTTGCAGCTGCAGCTTGAGCCTGGTGGATCCTCTCTGGATTGGAGAAAGAAAAACAAACAAACATGATACTTAACAGTTTTCCACATGACAATGATCTTAAAGACCGAGAGCATATGCTATTAGACACTTTGCTCCTCTACATGTGAGTGCAATTATAGTACGATACAGAAGAGATGAAGGCTGTAGAAGGATGAAAGATTAAAACCTCAAAATGTTCAAAATCGAAACCTGTGTGTAAAGCAGATCTATTATCTATCGGTTACAGGAAATTAAGCAAATCTTCTGTTCAGACAATATTAGATAACCAAACTAGATTAAACTTGACTCCTTATTGGCTGCCTCCATTTAAAAATTAAATTTTTAGAGATGTTAAAACATTTCCAAAAACTGCAACAGTGGACAGCAAAAACCTGAAATCAAGCACATGGTTGCTTACCAAACTCCTCCTGACTGCGACTGCGGTGCAGATAAATCCAGAGTTTGCGGCCAATGTCGTACTTCACACAAGGGTCTTTCTCATAGTGAAGTCTGTCTAGAGCCCCGCTTACAACTGTGTTCACCTAAATGGCAAAGGAAGATCCTTACAAACAGGACATGTCACCTTACAAAAACAACTTATAGGCAGCATCTGCCTCTGGATAGTGGCTTACACAGGCCAATGTAAGGTCTGTAAAAAAAATGCTAACTACATCACACCTGTGCACTAGTGACATCTGGAGCAAGAAACTGCGAGTCTTTCAACAGTTCACAGATCTCTGCCCGTGTTCCTTCTCCATTGGGTAACCTGGCTGCTGCATCCCGCACTACAGAATAAAGAGGGTAAAAGTCGCGTGACTGGTTTCCTTTGCACACACTTAAAAGCCCCACAGCCTGACAATGGAGTCAGAGTATAACAGAAGGTCTAACCCAGAGAGAGAATGGTGACGTATGGCGGTCGGTCTGAGCGGAGCAGCGTGTGCTCTCTGGCTTTGTTGAGAGACATCTCCTTATCAAACACCCCTTTAACAGGCCCCACCACGGATTCAAAGCCGTGCATCCTGAAGGTGAAGGCTTTATGTGGCTGGTTGTATCGCTGCTGCTCCTAATAAACAAGCAAAACATATGTCGGGTTTGAGAGTTCATGTCCAGGCTAAAGAGGCCAAATGTTATGAATAAGAAAAGTTTTCCAGAATGACAAACAAACCTGGATTTGAAACACTTGTCTCTCATCTCCAGTGCTGGGCCGCACCACATAATCAGTTGAACTGCATGGTTATAGATAATACACTGTTAACTTCAACAACCATGATACTGCAACTCAAACTAATTCATTGTGTTAATGTAAGACTTCAAATGACATATACATTTATTTAGAATTAAGCTAATGATTTCCTAATTAAGCAATGAACTATCTGCTATTTAAAATACTTAGTCCAACCAGCTACCCAAAAAACAATGATTAATTTATTTCTTAAGTTTTCATGTTTACAATGCTTTAACACTGAATCTTACACTCTTGGTGTGGGAGAAGTAATCTCTAACATGTCTTCATTTTCTGTCTGTGGAAGACAAAAAAAGCCTGTTTAAATTTCATTACAAATAAAAAAGTGGTCAACATAGTAAACATAAATGTAGTATAGAATCGTGCTGAAACTATATTTTGTTATAATAGTTGTACTACCTTGACAACTAAATCTTTGGAGTCCAGCCACAGCTGACAAAGTGCACTGAGATCCTTCTCTGTATCCTGAGTCGGGCCTAAAATAAGTAACTGACTTTAATATTCAATCCCAATCACTGCATCAATCAGGCATTTCAATAGTTGATCCTTCTTACCAATCCACCTCCAATGCTGAGATTCATCAGCAAATTCCACAAACGGAGAAAAGCCACTGGGGAGTGCCATCATGCCATCTGATTAACAGACATAGAGTGTGGGGGAAAAATACAAAAGTGACATGGGGTGGAAAATAAAGTCTGACCATTTCAGTGTGAGTGACCACTGCAACTTACCTTTAGTCTCTCCTGCAAGAAACTGCAGCGCTTGAAGAACCAAGTCAGACCAACACGGGACAGATGAAAACCACACGTTGAGGGAGCTTGCTGGAGAGGACTGCCACATTTGAACTTTCTCCTCCAACTGAGTAATAAAAATGTAGGCGTTATAATGTGTAGCCAGAAGTGTGATCAATTTTATAATATGTATGTTAAACTCTGTAAGAAGCTCATACCATTAAAGTACTGGCAAGGTTTTCTGCCCTTAAGATGGTCTCCAATAGGCTGAAGAAACTGACAGCTATTTCCTCAATGGAAACTGGGCTACCCTGAGACTCCTCCACAATTCTGTAATAAAGATGGTTCTTTACATTACACACACACACAATTCTGGACAAGTTCTTGACATCAGCATGGCACTAGACTCACTCCTCCTTGATGTTGTGTAGTGGAGTAGATGGCGTGTCTGGCAGGGAGTTGATGATGTTCACTGGTGGAGCTGATGGGGTGTCTGAAGGTGCAACAGTTTCACAGGGATCCTCAGATTCAACTTTTATTGTCCTTATCTTCTTCTTCCTTCTCTCATCTTTTATCTTCTTCTTAGGCAAAGAAAGATCAAACAGTGCTGGAAGAAAAAAAGGGAAGATACATTCCAACTGTGTGTCAAGAAATCAACAAAAACAAGACTTTGGCTTCAGATATATCATTATTTTTTAAATTCATTTCACTCACGCACAGCCCCCTTCCGACCAATATTTGTTCTTGAAAGTACGTCTCCAAGGTGGATATCAGATGTCATCAAGTCTGGATGGTCCTGAGTAAATCAATCATAAGTGATATACTGTACAAATTAAGACTCAACCATATCTGTGTTTTATTTTGTTCTTACTGGTTGTCGCTTCCTCTTCTCCCTGTGGTTTTGAAGCATGGATTTCAAGTCCTGCTCCCCTAGTTCTGTTTTTTCTGTGAAAAAATAAAATGTCTTTAAGTATTATATTCACTGTGCTTAAACATTTGAGGAACAATATCTGGACATTGCAGAAATCACTGACCAGTAGTCTTCATGTCTTGGGTGGAGAGGCTGGGAAGAACTCTGAGCGAGACAGTGGGTGTCGGAGAGGAAGGTGATTGTGGTGCCGGAGTCCATAATGATATATCTGCAATAATAATAATAAAACAAAAGCAATGGCATGGTTAAATGTGCATTTTTGCACTGAATGTCATACTGATAATGATAATGTTTTAATAATAATAATAATGAATTATCTTCACATTGCATATTGGTTGTTACCATATGGAATATATTAGCATCTCCTTATTAGAGAAGTGTTTAGAGTTTAATTATTGGTAGTGATACTAATGAAAAAACAGACTGACCGTCGTCATCAGATGAAGCGTTGCTGTCTCCACACTCAGTTTTGACCTCCTTTAGTATGCGACTCAGTCTTCTTCTCACCCTTGGCTCCCGCATTTCAGCATGAGTCCTGGTAGGTAACTTTCTTTTTGGTGGAAAGTCCAGACCATTTTGAACAGCAAACTCCAGCAGCTCCTACAACAATAAGACACATTATGTCTAACTGAAAGAGGCCATGTGCCTTGTACTTAAATGTTTTACAAAAATACCTTTCTGGAGACGAGGATCTGCTTCAACAGCCTGTGGTAATACTGCTGCAGGGAGTACAACTGTTGCTTTCTCTGGGACTTGGCACACAATTGTCTGTACTTGACCACTTCAGGATTGAAGTAACCATCTGCATTAAGATAAAAATCATGACCAGAAAGTGATTAAAAAAATACTCATGTCAACATGATATAGTTGTGTGTAAATAAGTGGATAACTAGGAAGCACCTCTGAATAGTTTTTGTGCAAGATGAAGGGGATTTCCAAAGTTAAAGTTGCTGTTGTTGAATAGGTCACTGATGGTGCTGTCCTGCTCTGCAACATTGTTGTCAGAAAACTGTGGCAAAAACTGACGAAGGTGCTGCCTCTGGGAATCTGACAGTACATTACTCCAGGTGCTTTCGCTCATCACAGAGAAGAAGATTTCGGGCTGTTACAAAGAAAGGTAAATGGCAAAAATGACTGCATCATCTGCATGTGATCAATCGAGCAAATCAGCAGCATGTAATCCCTGAGCACCAGATAACTCACGTCCTCAAGTAGGTCCTCTGGAAGGTTCACTCTACAGTTCCCCAGCATGCATTCCTCTGTTATTTCTTCATTGTTTTCTTCTTTTGGATCAAGAGGGTCTGTTAGCATATGGGTGAGGGCATCCATTCTTCTCCTCTGTGTCAACCGTTTAGTCTTTCACATAGAAAAGACTACAAAGTCACACAAAACCTCGTTTTAATCTGCAGACCAACTCCAGCTGATGCTTCTGCTTCCAGTCATTGAACGTTGTTGGCTTTATAGTTCGGAAAGAAGGTTGTTCAGTGCAACAAACGACTAACACTGGTAAGCATTCACCAATGTCAATACATTAACGTTAGCCGCTCTGTACAGTAACGTAGCACTGCTTAGCGAGCTAAGCTAAGTTAGCAAAAGAGCCAGTTATAACGTTTAGATTCGTGTTTCAGCGTTCAACGCAAACACACTATTTATGTACGGCATATTGGTAAGTAAAATGCACATTGTGACTAAGTTGATACAGCTAGTAAAGAACTGCTAAATGCTCTTACCTGACATTGCTTTGTTTTGGAAATGAAGAGAGAACTATTTACCAACGTACCGTTTTCTTCTTCTACTGAAATGGATGACACGTATCGGACGCCTCTCGCGCTTTGCTGCCCTCAGCAGGAAATAAGCATGTAATATACGTGGTCATTCACGTTAATAAAACTATAAAATTATATACAAAACGTCGCTTCTTTTAATATTCTTGTTGGTGCTTATTGTACTTAGTATTATTATTTACCTTTGACCAGAGAAGGGCATAATGTTACTAGCTAAACGGGGCAAAAGGTCTACACGCTAACGTTGTAGCTGTAACCTAACGGCGGCTAGTCACCTGTGAGGGCACCCACCTCTCACTCAAAGCGACCGTTAAGCCTAAATACAATTTAATCAGGTAAGTTATTTAAAAATTCACCCTAGTACAGTTGTCATGAACGGGGAGTATAAATCCGTTTGTGTACCAGGCTGTAAACATTTTTTTTTTTCTGCTGTAAATTTGGCTATTTTAACATGGGGATCGCTTCATTTTTCATCCCTGAGATTGCTGCTTGGAGCCATACAGTCTATGCTTGGAGCTCACTGTCCATGAAAAATTAACTTTTTTTTTTTTAATATAGCACCTTTTATGCACATAACTTTATACAAGGAAGAAGGGAGAAAAATATTTAAAGGCAGAGTGTTCTGTATTTGTTGGGGCGTGGTGGCTGAAAGTAGCATCCCCAAAGGCTTTTGTGGTGACCATGGGAATAGTTAAAAGAGCAGCTGTGGAGGATCTTAGGGTTTGTGGAGGATCATAAAGATAGGGTGCTATATAATTTAGAGCCTTAGAAACTTTAAAAAAAAATCACTTTTAATAGATACAGGGAGCCAGTGTAGGTTGCTTAAAGTTAACATTATATGATCTCTCATTTTTGTTTTTGTTAAAACCCTGGCAGCAGCTTTCTGAATGGTCTGTAGTTTTGCAATACCTGGTTTTGGTAGACCTGTATAGAGTGTGACAGTAAGCAAGATGACTAAGAAACAAAAGCTAGAGCAAGCTTTTCAGCATCTTGGCAGCACAGTGGCCCACTGGATAGCACTGTGGCCTTACAGGTCCTGGCTTCAGACCCTGGTTGTCCCTGCCTTTCTGTGTGGAGTCCTCCCCCTGCTGAGTGGGTTTCCTCCAGGTGCTCTGGTTTCCCCCACGAGCAGAAACATGTTAGCTTCTCCAGTCAGTGCTACTGGACCGTGACACTGGCACAGATCTGGAGTTGGTCCCACAGTGGCTGCCCACTGCTCCCTGGGTTAGGGCAGAGAAGGAATTTCGCTGCATGTGTATGTGACAATAAAGTATACCTTACCTTACCTCTGCAAATGATAATAGGCAGTTTTGGTCAACAAATCAAAATGGGCCCAATTAGTTAGTTTTGTGTTTGTGTTTTTAGTTAGATATGTAACCTACATATATAAATATATATAACTAATTAATTAAATAGAAAAAAGATAGTGAATATACCTGTGAATATAAATTATATAAGAACAAAAACAAATAATATTAATAATAATAATTTATCAATTCATGTTTATATGTATTTTTGTTCACAGACAAACACTAACAAAACAGCCTAATATTACTATACTTCTCCCCAACACCTGTGGAATAGCTCAGTTTTATTAAACAAACATAAGCAATGTTCCACTCAGTTGACTGAATCACAAATGTTTAAAGATTTATGAAAACACTAAATTTAAAAAACATGCAAATTATACATTTCATACTCCTAAGGTTGAAGTTGGTTTCAAACTGGGGAAACCCTGTCTGTTAAATGTGTTAATAAAATATGCACCTTTTTAACACAATTTTTTAAATTGATATGGCACAATGAGAATTCTCACTTAAATTAAATACCTTATTAATACTTTAGTAGAGTAATTTGTTATGTAACAACATAGTGCAGAACAGTGGTGTATATACCATGAATTAGGAACATGTGAATGGCTAGTTCAGCTTTGTCAGCTTGCTCCACCTCTTTATGGTGTTGTAATGAACAGGAATGAACAGTCAATCCCTCTGCCTCATAACACTTGCCAGAGAGAGGCACAGGGCCCACAGTGCCCTTCAGAAACCTTCACTAACATTGTCAGGCCTTACATGTTGGGCATATAGGCACACGGAGTTACAGAACTGACAGACAGACATTTTCCCATTTCTCTCAAGGTTTTGCTTTTAATGCCTTGGGAGGATGGCAGAAGGTGCAGATGGAGAGGAAGAGATTCAGTTCCTGCGAACGGTAAGTGATGCTACCTGCTTCTTCTCAAATAACTATCAGAAAATTTTTACAGTCAGCAATATGCAATAATTAACCTTTTGTGTATTGAGTTGTTGCTCATAACGCATAATAGACACATTTACTGAGTTGGGTTACTTTCTTTACATAGACTGAGCACAGACTGACAAGGACAGGTGGCATATTTTGTCAGCATTGTTATCTATTTATATCCCAGCGGGTACTTGGGATGTTACTGTTTGTCACAGAGAAGAAAATTTCTGGTGCCAGGTGATAATTAACACATAGACTTATAACAGATTAATTATGATAAAAGCAATTACATATAGTTACATGAAAGTATTATAACATTTTTACACTTCACCGCCACATGTATGTTCATGACAGTTAGGAAAATCAAAAGTTTTTTTAAAAGACTAAAAACATACTTAATTTCGTGTAGTTTGTATGTGGATCCCTTTCATGCTTTAAGCGGGATATTACACCTGTGGCTGAGGCGGACACCAAGATTAGTAGTGTGAACTACTGGACTGGATTCTGCCATGCCTAGTGGGAATGTTGTTTTTTTTATCTTGGCTCGTAGGTTGAAGCTCTACTACAAAATAATGTTGATATGGTTGTAAAGCTTCAACAAACTTCTACGAGACCACAAAGTCCTCCAACTTCCTGTTGATGTAAAATCACTTGGTTCGTGCCTTGATGTTATTCCTTCATTAAATATTTGGTCCTATTATTTTTCACCAATGGAGCAAATAGAAATATTATTCTGGGTCTTTATTTGTATTCAGATGAAGAATCTATATTACCTAGTCTAGGTCTTTATCCCCAAAAAGAACTCCCACACCAAACTGTAATACAGGTGTATCAGATAAATCCACAGGGTGTCACTTGCTTCTCAGGCCTTTGTGCTACTGCAGCCCAACTTTATGATTTAGATGTGTATTTCCAAAATAAATGTTGTGCATGGGGATGTTTTAGTACATTTTGAGGTATTACTCTGAAGTTTTAACATATTTACTTCATTGATTTTACAGTACATGTTCTAAAATATTTAATTTAAATCAGTTTATTTTTGCTGCATTAGTCACCACTGAGCTATCGAATTTCCAGTTTAGATCTCTGTGCCAGAGTCTGCAGAAGGCCATTGTGGCCTTGCAAGCCGTTTGCTGTAACACCCTCTATATGTACACTCAGCTTTTGAACATGTTCCACATAGTGTCACTGTGGTAACTCTAGACCTGATGTTAGCATAAGCCAGACACCAATTATCTATAGACTGTATCAGTTGACACTCAGTTCCTTGTAGCCACTCGGTTGAAGGTTGTACACCCTGAAGAGGGAGTGCAGTCTATGTTTTTGGTTAAAGAAACGTTAATTTGATATTTTATTGAGCACAGACACTTTCAAATTCAAATATGTTTATATATTTGTCTAGCATCTACATAAATAAAAAAAAACATGTTTTCAGTTGGCATTGTCTCAATCACAGCAGTGAAGTAAAACATGTCAACAATGTGTCATAAAGTTGCTGTCAGAGTGCTGAGTTCTATATTTACTGTGTGAGGATTAGCAGGTTCAAAGCTTGGCCTATTTCTGCACCTGCTTACTTCAGTCCTTGTGGGAACTTCACTATTAAAGTAGTACCAGCAGTTTTTAATATCAGATGCTGGTTTCAAAACATTCTGTCAGATTGCTTTTATAGTACTTCTTGCATTGCTAATGGAATTTCAGATAGCACTCAGCTGCTAGCCCCTTGTTGTCATGATGGCATCTTGTCAGTCAGTCAGTCAGTCAGTCTGTCTGCCAGTCTGTTGGTGTGTTTGCCTGTAGACACATGGACACATTTGCACAGTAACTTAGGAACAGAATGTGCCAGAAACTTTATACTTACTTGTGTCATATGCTGTGGTAGGATTGTCAATTTGTTGGATAGTCTCTAATATTTTGCTTAATTGTCCCCATCCAGCCAGTTTTAACTGCCGTTTTGGTTAACGTTCTTTCTCAAACAGAGAATGGGGGTGTGGTTAATATTCGGACGTAATACTTTACCATGACAACCAAAAACTGACCGGCTGGAGTGTTCACTAACGATATGCTGTGTTAACATCACCACACTGTACAGTTTAGTACACTTTGTTGTCTGGGAGGAGTAGCTATTACTTACCCATGATAGCAACTAATGTGCGCGTATCAGCTGTTATCAATCATACAGTCGATGGTCCTGTCACGCACTGCACACGATAACTCTCACTACGTTTTATGGAGCGCTTTCTGTACCGCAGGGGTGTGGGGGGTGCCTCCGCCGATGCAAAACGTCAAAAATGCGAAAAAAGTTAAAACGGCCGTCAGTAAAATGTATGTTGCAGACTGTATACAGTATAAGACAGTGGCAGGTGAAAGCGCAACGCGTTTTCTGTCATCTGTCCTCCAACACCGCACGCACAAATGCCATAATGAAAATGAACAGCACATTAAACCAAGACGAGGAAACTAAAAAATAAAATGAAGACCCTCTGTTAGCTAACTTTCTGCAATAACTATGCTAGCTAACTACACCTGGCTAATTACAACTTAGTTAACTTAGCTCACTAAACTAGAAAGACAAACCAACAATCAGACACAGAGAGACATACCTACTGTAAGTTCTAAGTAAATTACATGATAAATTGGTTAGCTAGCTCACAACAATGTTTGTCGGTTTGACGCTCTGACTTAACGACGGTGACTGCGTGACAGTTTTTTAAGGAGGCATGACAGTGCGCCTGCGCAAGCTTGGAGAATGACGTATGACTTATGGAATTACTGACGTCACCACCCCGTTTTTACAACTAAGCAACTTT